CGATGACTTGTCAGAAAGGTTTGCTCCCCACACCGGAGCTCGCGCTATTCCGCCGACTTTACTTGACACTTGACTGACTCACGACTGCCATCCAGAGCACACGAGAAGTCCATCGAACCTTCGACTCGGCAAACCTGTAAGAAAGCACCACTCCCTGCTCAATACACAGTGTAAGTGTCAAGTAAAGTCGGCGGAATAGCGCGAGCTCCGGTGTGGGGAGCAAACCATTATTATTATTTGAAACTCGGATGTTGAGCCATAAATAAATGTGGAAGAGAAAAAAAGACATATAGATACGAGTTAAGAGTAACTCTCCATCACTGTAACATGATACTATAATCAGAAAGTGCAATAACTAGGCACAAAACTGACAAGAGTACTGAGACATTCGACGTCCTGGCACCTAGCTTCAACACATTTTTATGACCCACCCAAGTTGGGTGATGTGCTGCTTTGCTGCTTCGAATTGTAGTTAGACCGCTTTGTCAAATATCGTACTGGTCTCGTCATCGTCCAGTAACAATCGACATTCTTTGTTCCGTTGGGACTGTAGCTTTTGCTCGTTTTCGTTGCGCTTGCCTTCCCCTCTTTGGTCTTTCCATAACCTTGAACCTTCCAAGTTGGAAGGCTGTCGGTTAGCGCTACGGAGATGTGTTAAAGCTAGGTGTCAGGACGTCGAATGTTTCAGTACTCTGTCAGTTTTGTGCCTAGTTATTGCACTTTCTGACTGTATATAGTATCATGTTACAGTGATGGAGAGTTACTCTTAACTCGTATCCATATGTCTTTTTTTCTCTTCCACAATTATTATTATTATTATCAGTCTGAAGAAAATGTTGAACGGCCTCTGCTGGGATGACGACTACACCATAGCTCAGTGGTTAGAGCATCACTGGCTACAAGCGAGGGTCCCTGGTTCGAGTCCTGGTGGTGACAGTCAATTTTTTCTTCAGACTTTTCCCGTTTGTCTCTTTCCCTCAAACCAGTCAATTATTATTATTATTATTATTTAAAGAGTCGGCGTGGAGAAAGCTATTATATTAGTGCAATTAAGAGTATAATCATTGCATTATGTTAGCACTATGGTTGACACCTATTATGTAATGCTGTAGCACTTCCATTTTTTTGTTCACACTTTTAATTATGCTGTTTTAAAATGTTCTATTTTTTGTACACAGTACCCTCAGTTCCGATACTATTCACTGATGAGTGGAACACGAAAATCGATTTTGAATAACATAAAAATCTTTAAAAAATTTTCCATGAACTCGTAGTTGTCTGGCCATGTCTGCATCGATTATACTCTTAATTGCACTAATATTATTATTATTCTCAATTCATGGATGACATGGTGTCAACCAATATTATGAATGAGAAGATGTATTCAAGTCGATATCATGCACCGGTATACATGTAATTAGCGGTAAGCATTATGCCGATTTGTTCATCGAATAAAACAAAACCAACAAGCCAAGAAAAGATAGAAAAGGTCAATTATTTGCGCAGCGCAGTGTGATCCGGGTTAACGCACTGTCGCGCACACCGTACCTGTTACCGTATACAAACTGTGCAGTGTGTACGTCGTGTCGTCGACCTTTCCCTCATCCGGGATCCCGCAGATCCTGGTAGGAATGTGGATCTAGTTGTACGGTAATATCGTGCCCGGGTGTACGTGGGCTACGGTAGAGGGTGAGCACAAGTACAAAGTAGACACAGGCAGCAGATAGCACACACATTTTGATCAGGACAATCGCATATTGACAACGTTCTTCCAGCTTCACCTTGCCACAACTGTATATGGAAGATCACACCAGAGCGAGATACCGGTATATCTCAAGTTTGCTGTCTGATCCCCCGTCTGGATAGCACCAATCCTTCAGTTTCCTTATACCAGAATGGCTGAATACTCCAAAAGCAAAGTGGATGCGTATGCTGCCAAGGCTTGGTGGCACCCTTCGCATCAAAATGCACTGAGGAAGAGTGGCGGAAACCATGTGCAGGCACGTCAGCTATTTCGAAATCTCGTAGAGCAGGCCGAGCGCAATCGAATCCAAGAGCAAGGTGCAGAGGAAACAGTCAGCGGACAAACTCGCCAAATGCCAGAAGATGTCCCGACATCAGAGCCGCAGGCAGGCGCTCAAGAAACTAGTTGACCACGTTACACTTCACGTTCTCTCGCACCGGCATAGCAAGAAAACATAACCGCAGGGTTGTGTCACTTGTGTTCCGGCTATATCTGCTATGACGATGGGAGTATTCCGAGATACATGTAGATGTCCTACGACACCCCAACTCCCTGATGCTGTTGCTATCCACAAAAAAAACATCACAAAAAACATTCATAGTCAACCATCTATTATTTTCAATGGGCCTTTCCATCTGCCCAACCATGTACCTGTTTCACCTTCGTCAAACTAGTAATGGATCTACTCCTCTTCTCTCTATGAATTAATCGCATGCTGGTCATCGCATCTTTTTACATCCTTTCTTGAGAGTTTAGCAATAAAGTCAATGAAACAAAAACAACGTGTTAGGCACCGTGCTGATGCTAATGATGGATATATCCCACACTCTGGCAGTGTCGGAAGCCCACATCTCGCGAGATTAGTTGCCATACCGCCTGAGTTGGGATGTGCACGTCAGCGCCATAGTGACTAAAGTTGCGAGGAAGATTGGCGCCTTGTGGCGAGCCCGTCGATGCCTCTCCCGCAACTCGCGCAAGATATAATTATGTAAAGGCTATTGTCATGCCGGATATGATATATGGTGCCTGCTGCTTCTCTGCAGCCCTCCGCGTGACCCAACTTCAGCTTCTGCAAGCCATGCGAAACCGGGCGATCCGATGCATTGATGGCAGCCCGCCATGTTCCACGATGCAGCCCCTCCTGGCTGCCAACTCGATTTACCGCGTCACTGAACTTTTTAAACAAAAGCTCCTGATCTTCATCTGGCGGTGTCTAAATGACTCCACTAGCCTTGCTCTAGCCCAGCTTCTCAAACCAGCTGCATGCAGCGGCAGAAGTACGCGCCATCAGCATGCCAATGGTCTGCTCAGCCAGCCACCTCGCAGTCGGTGTGGCCAAACGAGATTCGCCACCGCAGGAGTATTGCTGTGGAACAGTTTGCCTAGAGAGGTGCGCACCGTATCCAGATTGCAAGATTTTAAGCTAGCCTGCCTTCCTTATGTAGGCCTGGAATAGGTTGTGTTTCGTCAGGTTTTGGCATGTTCCTTTTCTTCTCAGTATTCTCGCTGGCATAGTACTCCACTCCTACGATGATGTTGCCTATGCTGTTGCTCATTAGGATTTTGGCAAATTCTATCCTTCGCTTCCATATAACTGGGCCAGGAACCCGTTTGAACTTGCGAAGTAAAATAGAATCAATCAATCAATCAATCATTTCTCGCTTCCCTCCTGTGCGTTTATCGCTTATCGTGTTGTTGTTTGTATTCAATTTGTTTTGTCAACTTTCTTTAATTATTATTGTTGGGAACATAGCCCCATGCCGTGTGATCAGTCGTGACTCGTGTTGAGCCATCAAACAAACCACCCTCTAGGCTAGCAGCGGGCAGAGGTCACGTGACTGTTATGGTTATCACAAAGCGTTAGCTTCGATAGTGTATTGAAAGAATGAAGCCATCATTCCGTGAGTTAGGCAGCTTTACTGATCTGCTGATCGTGAGACCACGGAGGAGGAAGGAGAAAGAAAGAGCGGGTTGTTGTTGTTGTTGTTGTTGTTGTTGATTTTTATTTTACTTCGCAAGGCCAAACGGGCAATGGTGCCCAATTCTATGGAAGCGAATTTCAAAAGGGAGAGAGCTACGGGGAGAGAGAGAGAGAGAGAGAGAGAGAGAGAGAGACAGAGAGGGGGGGGGGGAGGGGGGGGGGAGGGAGGGAGGGAGATGATAAGCAATTTTGCAGCGTCAACAGAGCGACTTTTCAGTGTCAATAGAGGGAACAAAAAGAGTTCATAAGCGCACAAGCACGCAGAGAAAAGTAAATGACGTGGTGTGTGGACGGGAAAAGTCAGACAGAGCATTCATTGCAAGGTGTAGGGGATGGAGGCAAGCTTGAATTGCTGGGCAGCCTTGATCTCCCTTACACTCCTTGGGAGAGCGTTCCAGGCCAATGTAAAACGTTACTCTACTTTGCAGGCTCTGTGTAACCTGCAAACACGCCATGACCATGAAAAAGGCACTATATTATACTATAGTATATTCGTTTGGCTTCAACCAGTGGCAGTTATGCATTACATACCAGGGTGAAACTAAGTTCTACAAGTAAATAAATTAAAAAAAAAAAATTATCGTGTCCGTTCCCGAAAGGAACGCACGACGGCCGCTAACACCCAATAAACCCTAGCGGCAGATGCAGCGCCTGACGGTGGGGGTGAGCGGGTAAGTCTCACAACCACTGGCACAAGTGCCGAAAACGACCCCATTAGCTGCATCCATTCTACAAGTAGGTAGCAGCAAATGAACCCAGGAGAAAGGCATTCGTGTGGAGCCTCCCACCAACCCGCTAGGCGGTAGCCCTCAGCGGATAATGCAGACTGAATAATCGGCTGCAGGATCTGCTGCATTTCTGGCATGTTACATGCATGTGGAGTGTTGTGGATAAAGAAGAGGAGCAAATTACGAGAAATGTCCCGCCATACGCTTTGTATAGTTCGGTCAATTGTCAGAGCATTATCATTCAATCCTCTCCCCCCCCCCCCCACCCGATGTTAGTAGTTTGTCTCCATCGATCATATCATACCATCCGAAGGACATAACACGCATGCACCGAGGTTCCGATCGTTAAAGGTTAGTGCATAGCAGGAAGGGAGCGTCACCAAAGATTACTACAGTATTTGTAGTAACAACAACGATTGAACGGGCTTTTCAAACTCTGATAAGGCCCGGTAGGGGGGGGGGGGGGGGGTCATTGACTGGTCGTCCCCAAAACGATAGACTGACTTCAATCTAATTGGATGTCTAGTTACCAGCACAGGAGAGCATAGATGGTTTCGTCAATGTCAAGTAGTCTATTCAAATACCCAGATCAGATCAGATTGATGAATTATTGATTCTGAAAGTACATGTACCAGATTTTGAACTGGTCGAAAGAGAGACAGAAAGAGAGAGAGAGAGAGACAGAAATACTGTCTTCAGATGATATGAAGCAATGGAAATACATCTGAAAAAGCGGTAATAGCTAAACTCAAAATCCTTAGCTGGAGTCAAAATCTGCTTTGTTTTGTACACGGTGTGTGTGTGTGCTGGAGGGATGATGCAATTGAAAACTGTGGTGAGTTATCCATATTGTGTGTTTGACCAACAAAACTTAGTTGTATAGTATATGCATCATGGGCGACAGACACCGGTGGGAACTGAAATCACTGAGAGTGGAGTTAGGTGGAGAGAGAGAGAGACAGACAGACAGAGAGAGAGAGAGACAGACAGACAGAGACACAGACAGAGACAGGATGAGGGAAGATGAGCTAACAAGAACAGGAGAAGCAGAATCAGGCGGATATACCCAGCGGAGCCAAGCCAGGATTAACACATTTCGCACAAGGCACACACAAATGTTGATAACATCTGAATACAATAATTGTTCAAGTTCGAATCTAGGATTGCGGCATGACACTCCGCGCTTCCACTCACACCACCATGCAGGGACACTGTGATAGCCGTGTGCCCTTCTGAGCCGAAGAGAACCTTTCCACGCTGACAGTCAGAAGAGAGGAGTCCGAATCATTGCTGGCCAGAACTCACGCAGTCACGGAGGGTTATCGCATGGCGAATCCCAGTACTATGGCGGCTAGCATCAGCAGGTCAATGTGCGTCAGTGTGGATGCGGACGACTGGAATCCTGTTCTGGCCGTCTGTATGTTGGCCAGTGTCAGTGCAGCCGTGACGGCATTCTTCTGTAGTGTTGCTCCGGTGTTGACCAGGGTTACGAGTGTCTGCACGGCTTGGAAACAATACAGTCCCTGTTCACCACTGCCCGGCAGAGTCTCCACTCTCAGCTCCATGACATCATCAAGTGTCACATGACCTCGCACGGCACAGTGTGCTGATGTCATCGGTGGCAGGGCGCGCTGCAGCGACACCAGAATGCTGGCTATGTCATTGGCAGTTTCATAACCGGATCCCACCAATGCCCGAGCTATTGGCTTGCTGATTGACACCAACGCTCCACCACCTGGACAGTATCATAATAGAGAAAGAGACAGGACAGTGAGACATCTACTTGTACATTGAGTACGTGCCAGGCACATCTGAATGTCTATACTGTTGTCTAGCACACCTGATGGCCAAGTATAGACGCATGACATGCACTTCTTCTACACACAAATATAATTGTAAAATATATCTAGAACCCTGCTGTTTGTCAGGTGATGTTCTTTAATTGTTGTAGTACCTTACATCCTCGGTTCACGTATATTTTGAAGTTACAGAAAGCATATATTACTAACACTTTTCCACCATCAGTTTGTTTATGAACTAGATGTTCCGGTTCAAAGATGTCAGAATGTGTGACGCCAGAGGACTAAAGTCGAGTAGCCATGCTATCCATTCAGATGTGTGTTTGAATGCCTTTAGTAGGTGGAGGGGTCTGCCTGCAACTGCTGATAGTCTCTGTTAGTGCACTGGTCAATGCAGAGTATGCTATGCTACATTAAACCACTCACCACAGAATGAGCAGCAGTCGTTGGGCATTCTCGTCGCCACCGTGCATTCCGGCTCCAGCGCTGGACACTTGACCAGGTCACATGATCTCTGGCAAGAACCGTCATAGTCGACTGGGGTCACACTCGAGTGGGCATGGCAACGAGACTCGTACGTTACCTTGTCTGAGCCGCATACCTGAAGCAAGCAAAGCAAAGATACTGTCAGTGATTGGTGAGGAATGCCAGAGGAAAGGTTGCATTAAAAAACCTTGCTCTCTTGCATTCAAAGTGTGATAAGAGCTAAATATGAGATGCTAGACTATTCAAAGCAATGCCTCACGCTATGCAATGCCTCACACTATGCAATGCCTCACACTATGCAATGCCTCACACTATGCAATGCCTCACACTGCCGGCAATGCCTCACACTATGCAATGCCTCACACTATGCAATGCCTCACACTATGCAATGCCTCACACTATGCAATGCCTCACACTATGCAATGCCTCACACTCTGCAATGCCTCACACTGCCGGCAATGCCTCACACTGCCGGCAATGCCTCACACTATGCAATGCCTCACACTATGCAATGCCTCACACTATGCAATGCCTCACACTGCCGGCAATGCCTCACACTATGCAATGCCTCACACTATGCAATGCCTCACACTATGCAATGCCTCACACTATGCAATGCCTCACACTATGCAATGCCTCACACTATGCAATGCCTCACACTATGCAATGCCTCACACTATGCAATGCCTCACACTATGCAATGCCTCACACTATGCAATGCCTCACACTATGCAATGCCTCACACTATGCAATGCCTCACACTATGCAATGCCTCACACTATGCAATGCCTCACACTATGCTCACACTATGCTCACACTATGCTCACACTATGCTCACACTATGCTCACACTGCCGGCAATGGACAAATACAGGCGAAAGCCATGGTACTTTAAATGTGTTATCTATCTTTATCCAAATCAGGAACAGTAACCGGGACTTGAATCTATTGCATTAAAAGGCATTTACACCAGTAGTGCTAAGCGTGTCCTCACCTCTCCTGAGCACTCCTCATTGCATGCACCAAGATACTGAACATGGCCACTGCGCACCAGGCCGTGACACAGAGACGTGTGACTGACGTTACCATGGAAACAGGCATGTGCATCTTCGCTCATCGGCGGAGCAGTCTCCACGTTCTCGACTGCTTGCTGAAAACTAGCCGCTGGCATGCTGGGCATATCACACTCTGCATTCTCTTGCACTGCAGCAGAGAACAATGATTGGGAAGCAAAGTGCCATCTGTAAGTCTGTGAAGACATGTAATTGTAGTGTATATGTACAACTGAGGAGTTCAATTATGCATGTATAGCTTAGTTTGATACCCCCCCCCCCCCCACACACACAAACAGACCAAACGGCTTGATACGTCACATATGCATAGCCATGCATTTTAGAGGATATGGGTGCATGTGACAAAGGCAGACATGGAACTATACCTACGACACACTGTCACACACAAGCATCCAGGACCTACAACTCATCATCCCTGAGTGGCGTGCTCATGACAGTGTACAATCAGGTGCCCATTCAAGTGTTCTCCACTGACATACTATCTTTCATCAGTTTCCATTTTTTTTACATACATGCATTTTCACCCTTGAGATATCCATCATAGGCATCTATTAATTTTGCTTTTGGAAAATCTATAAAATACAATGAAATAATAAACGAAGTAACACGTACCACACAGGTGTTGTTGGCATGGCGCCACAAGGCATTGCCTTGGCGACGGCACACACTTGTAGCCGGGTTCACACAGTCCGGGACGACACACGTACTGCAGGGAGAACACAATCAGTCACACACACACACACACACAGGTATCAGGGTGCAATCTCCTAGCACAAAGCCGGTCAAGGCCTGTTGACATTTCAGCACATGCAAGGCTATCGCATAACCCAATATGTCATAGTGTTTGATTTGACAAAACAGACATGCTAACAGGCAAATAAAACAAAACCGTTTGAAAGATTCGATCTTTTTTCCAGAACTGTCAGAAAGCAGCACCGGGAAACATACCCATGCAGACTGCATAGCTTGCCCTGAAACTACCCTACATGCTCTTTAGCTATCAGTTAACTTGTGTACAAGTACAAGCTTTCTAAGACCTAACTGTCATTAATTGTTTACCTTTGTTGAGCACGGTCCCAGCAAGAGTTGATCGGATGTGAAGCCTCCGCAGCTGCGTGCCGCACTGGCGCTGGGGTATGTCCTGCCGTTGGGAGCACACAGCTGTATTCTGGCAGGTATGCCGGCACTGCTCATGGCAGCACTGCATGGCCGTGCTACTTGCAATGTTACCGGTGGCACGGAGCAATTCATCTGCATGGAGACAAAATGGACGCAACAAAAATTAATAATGAAGGCACCATCATATTAGTACCTATGGTGCCATGTCCATAAGGAGTTACAAATTGGACCCGGTTTTGCAAAATTGGAACAGGTGATGTTATACCAGAGCGAAATGGTTGGAGCAGCAGGTCCAAAAAAAAAAAAAAAATCGGATTTCAAGTGGGGTTCGGCCTGTAATTCATCCAAATTTAGGATTTCCAAAGCAAAAGGTACTATGATTCTAGTATTACATCTGGATGGACTGTGAACAACACAGAGTGATATGTAACCAGTATCACTATAAGTAGAGTGCCAGTACCCATTCTTACCTGAGTGCACTGTACACGTCCGTTGTTGCACACACAGTTCCTGCAGTCGATAGTCACGCGCATACCGTCACCCAGGGACGTCACATGACCAACCTTGGTCTGCACAAAGCATGGCTGTGACGTCATGCATGTCGACTTGGGCAGCTGCTCACAGGCTCTCAGGGCACCGTCGTGACACGAACACAACTGACATGTTAGCTGTACTAGGGTGCGCGCTCCGTGTAGAATCGTCCTTCTGTTTAGCGAGCATGCCTTGAGTGCACCGTCATCCTCGACTGGGCGTGATAAAACACATAAAAAGAGCAAAATTGTATAAATTGTCAATATGGTATGATAAAACGGCCAGGTGTTAAAATGTACTCGTGATGCACTCGTTTCACCAGTCGGCAAATACGTGTGTTGTTATCAGTGGAGATCAATGCGTGACATGAACACATACGTGAGCTTGTATGGCTTTAGCACATACATGTATGTGGAGGACACTGTCAGACATGAACACGCATGATGTAAGTGGAGATAAGCGTGTGGCTTTAGTCTATACATGTAAGCGGAGATCACGGTTTGTCACGAGCATACACATGTAAGTGGAGATGATCACCGCGTGTCATGAGCACATGCATGTACTAGTAAGTGGAGGTCACTGTTTGACATGCACACATGCATCACAGACTGTGGAGATGATCACTGTGTAACATGGACACATACCTTGGCACAAGCCAATGCCGATGTGCAGTCCGATATCTCTGCATGCCTGCCCGGCGGGACACTGGCGCATTGCAGCGCGCAGTGCATGACTGGGTGCTTGAACACGTACATGACCAGGGAGCATACACAGTGATTGATCTGAAACACGGAAACCAAGACAACCAAAACACCGAACAAGAATGTCAAGAAAAGCAAACCAGTTGTGAGAACACACACAGCAACATTTCCACATCACATTCCAAGATACCATTTCACTTTTACAATTGGAAGCTACAAATATACCCAGTGGAATACGAGAACTTACATTGGAACTCCATTTTGGATGCAAGAGATGGAGTGTGCCAATGCGCCCGATTATCATCAAGGATTGAGGACATAAACCAGATTATGTAAAGATTAATTTAACTTGCTGAGAATTCCCCGAGGATGACTTACACATGGTGCAGTCGGTAGTTTCGTTGCGTCTGTGCAGTGTTCCCTCCACCGGCTGTCCGTCACGGTACACACACCAGCAGGTGGCGTTGAGAGCGCCACACTGCCGTGGCGCATACCCGTACATTGCGATTGCATCGGGCAGCGGCTCACCAGCTCGACTCATCGCCTTGGCAACGTGCCCCGGCACGGTGCATTGCGGCACGTACTCTCCAAATGACTTTGCAAGCTGACGGTTGACCATGGCGTACACGCCGCTTGCACCTCGCTCTAGCATCACGCCGTTCAGCCGACGCAGCAGCTCCAGGACGGTCTCCTCGCAGTGCGAACGCATGTGGCAGAAGTGCTTTGTCGACGGCGAGGATCGCACGTAGCGATGTTCACCTGCGGCTGTGCGTGATCCGGGTATCTCCAACCCTGTCTTGGTGTCGACACAGAATCGTTCGGCGAGTGACTGATGCTGTCGGAGGGTATACTGAATTTTTTCGAATGAATGCGACGGAGCGTTGGAACTCAGCATGGACAGGCCGCGCTGGGCACACCGATGCACGAAAAAGTTGGGAATACGCTCGTAGTACTCTCGTTTCTGGAAGAGCTGCGAGCCATTCTTCAGTCCGTACATTGCCAGCCGGTAGTCGTATATGTTGGATGCTACGTCTTCCTCGCAGGGTGTGGGTACAAAGTCAGTGCATTCCTCCACGAAGAGTGGGTGACCAGGAGGCATAACCGTGTCCAGGATAGCTCTAATGTAGAGCAAGAAAATAGAACACACACAACAATCATTAGAGTGTGCAGAGCACATTATGGATAATCTTGAGCACATGTATACTATTACTATATTGATGACCCAGTCTCGACTGCATGTGTGTGATTGATCACTAGGAGAGCAAAGGAAGTAACGCCATAGCTTGCATGCATGCACTATAGGCTCTGCAGATGGTGTGCATTGTAGAGAAGATCACAATATTTTTGCTCTCCTCTGCCCATACCACAAGGTGCTAGTAGTAGAGTGGTGGCAGCTGAGATCCGACCCTAATTCGGTGCCTTCTCATTGCAAAGACTCAACCCGGGCTTGTAACACTACACAACAGAGACGGCTAGAATCGGTGCTACCTTTGAGCATGAAAATCAGGGGTCGGATTTCAGTTGCTACCTCTATATCCATTTGATTAGTTGAAGAGGTGTTGCTTACTTTCCCTGGCCTGTCGTGCACCAGCACAATCCACTGTTTGTGTCGCACTGCAAGTGGCGATGTGACCGCACTCCCCCACCCACAGCTGTCTGGTGTATGCACTCCGGTATCCACACGGAAAGGTCTTCAACGGCTGACATCATTTCCGGCATGTCCATCGAGGCATGCTGCTCCAGAATCAACAGTGCTTCGATACGACAGGACGAGTACATCTCGGAATCTGCGGGTTGACAGCAAGAAGAGTATATGTATATGATTGAAATATACTACATTAGAACAAGACATTCACAAAATGATATCGACACTCCCCATTCCGAGAAAACCGCTAATCAGAACCACGCATGCTGACTCAAACATTGAGACCACAGTTTCAATAACCATAAATTCACAGAATGGGAGAAGGTTCATCCACCGCCGTATTTCCACAAAGAGGATTCACACCTTCTTACACAAACAGTCAAGATCGAAGAAGGGATTGTGACTCACAATCAAAGTCAACGTACCATCCATGCAAATGCATCCAAACAAAAAATTACATGACCTGAAAGTGAGATGTGACTTACAATGCGTTGCGACCTAAAATCGGGAAAATACACTGAACTTGAAGTGTATACACTAAGTACTTACTGAGGCGACTACAGTTGACTGGGGCCTGGTCAGACCTGTAGCGTGTTCCGTCCATCTCCTGCCCCGTGGTCTCGTTCACGCAGAAGCACACGTCGGACGCGGCAATGCACTGCGTGGACCTGTACGTGGGCCCGTGCGGGTCGCTGGGCAGCACTTCACGGCGTGTGCACTGCGGCACCCACATCATCAGAGAGCTGCGATTGACGCGTTCATTAGCGTCAATCAGCTGCTGGAGTACACGGTGTCGGTGCTGCTCGCATCGTGTTGTGGTGCCCAGGACTATACAGGCGAGAAAACAAAACACACAACATCTTAGGTCAGTACTACAGTATAACAGCGAGGTACACCACACTCCATCATTCACCCCAGTGTCGGGAGGCATGTGGATTTTGTAGAGAAAAAATATCTCGATGGTCCAATATTTGGGGTTTGGTTTACCCAGAGTTGAGCACAGTATTTATAAAAGGTAGGTGAGTTTCACATTGCTGTATAAAGTTTATATGGGAAACACAACATTAAAATTCAATTTCCTCAATACTGCGTGAAACTACATAAGCCTCCTTTTCACATCTAGAGGCTCACATAGTACTTGAAAGTATGTGTATGGCTTACCTGCTTCTAAACAGATCATCTTTCCCGTGTGTCTTCCTGTTGCGCTATCGGGACAGGTTGTGGGACAGCATTTTGCATTGGGTCGTGTAGCACAGCTATGGTCTGTATGACAAGAGTCTCCGCTACACATGTAGTCCTGACCGTCCAGCAGCATTGCAGGGCACGTTCCTGCACGCGGCGGTGGCTGAGAATAGTCTGGTTCGCATTCACCCGCTGGAGTAAGACATGCATACACGTGCACAAACACACATATTGTATGGAGTGTCCTGGTCGACTCAATGCATTGCGCACGCATGTACAATGGTAGCATCCACATAATATCTGTACCAACAACAGGCCTGAAGTGGGTGGGCGTATGTGTGTGTTTGTGTGTGTGTGTTTGTTTGTTCATGTGCACGATCCTGGTAGCGTTGTCCACAGGACACTGCCTGTCCTGTCAAGAGAGAGGTGTTGAGCAGGAATCACGAATCACGCCCATGAAATCGTCTTCTGCAACAACGCCATCCACTTACTGTCTTCTGCACCATTTTTGTTGAAGCACTCGAACGCAGTGATCTGCTCATATTGAGCGCAGTGACCTGGCAGGGACACTGGAGCTCCAGGCCGTACAACACACTTCTCCAAGCACTCGGGAGGAACTCCAAACCTACAGCAACATTCTGGACACATGGAACAAAACAAAACAAAAAATAGGAGAACGCAATCAATCAGTATCGACGATATAATGCTGCTTTCTCATTCTTCTCAGATGTATTTACACACTCCAATGAATACTGGCTGAATGTGTGTTTGTTGTTACTGACAATTAGTGTTTGCTAACACTAGCAGTGGATTGGTTTTGTTTCAGTCTCAGCAGGCTTTCCATCAAGGCTCTTATTATCGTTTTGATTTTTCTTTTTTCTTTTTCAATTCGTTTTTTTACAAGAACTACTGCTGCATTAGCACTAGTCAGCTTCGTGGGGAAGCTCTTCTCCGCAGCTAGCTGTAGCTGTTTACTGCTGGGCTTGGGGATTTATATTTCATACACTCTTATTTGAAGGATAATACCACAAGATTAGCTGTCTTCATGGGGTTGGTGTGTACTGGGACAATATATGACAAAGATCAGCTGTCCCGTCCTGGGGGTGGGTCTGCACTACCAACACATGCAGGACTTACTTCTATAGTCAGCCAGCACGCCTAGAGGTGGCAAGCCACCCCCAATGCCTCCAGCTCCACCCAGCGTGAACAAGTGCGCTGGTGGCCCAAAACCGCCAGGCAATCCAAACTGTCGTTTTGCACGTGCCTTGCTGATGATATCTGAAGAGAAAAAAAGAGAGAAAGAATGCACCGTGTCAAAGTGTGTGGTGATTCTCTGACAAAGCAGGGTGGCAAGGTCAAAAGGTCAAAACAACACTAACGACACGCGTTAGCGTGCGCGTGCACATGGCGCATGGCACTTTCATTTTCAGAGATTTTGAAAGCCGCTGTGGTAAACCGGAGTGCGAGCAGCTTTCTTGCCACGTAAATCTCATTGCTACATGCAGATCTACACACACACTACTACATGTTGTCGACGACATGCAACTCAATGTAACGAGATTTCCCATTGTTTGGTGGAAATAATTGTCCTGCTAAATTTGCTTGACCTCACTCCCAGTGTTTCCCATCGTTTCTTGCTTGACCTCACTCCCAGTGTTTCCCATCGTTTCTTGCTTGACCTCACTCCCAGTGTTTCCCATCGTTTCTTGCTTGACCTCACTCCCAGCGCTTCCCATCATTTCCAATAAGGCTGGCAATGAAGTCAGACGTATTCCAGTACAGGTGCTACTAGGTTAGAGCAGGGATTTGTGTTCAGGTGCTTTGAGTTCTAGTCGATGATGAACATGCACGGGCATCTGATATGGTTACACTGATGGTTTAGTGATAACTGTTAGGATCTCAGAGGGTCCAGGGTAACCGTGTTCATGGTGTTTTGTGCACCCCTTCATCGCAACACGGTACAGTCCTCCACAGTCAGTGGATCTACCCTAAAAAATTTAAAAAAAACCCAAGTCCACCAGTAAATCTAGGACTACTAGTACTAGCGATCCCTTCACATCCATAGCTCCATTTATCATGCATGGGCTGCGGTGCGGACACAGCACTTGACACTGCAGAGTCTGTGGCAGTATACTCCTCTGGCATACACGAATCACACCATAGCAATCACATAAACATCAAGTGACCATTCCCAGCATGCCTAAGCGAGCAGAACATAGATAGGGAACAAGGAGCCACTACTACATAATCTGTTGCTACAATGATGAAGGAAGTACATGTGCCAGTACCTAGCCACGTGATAATGGCCTCCACAAAGTTGACATAGTATGCTACAAGCTGTGCCATTGTTGCAGCAACAAACTGGTGCACTTTTAACATGATCACTACACCACACAATGACTGAGGATATCAACACACCAGGAAACACTATCAAATACGGATATGTAGCCAGGAAAATACCTGACTCAAGGTCTTTTGTTTTGAAGGTGTAAAGAATAGCAGACACACAACACTAGATCATGCTTGACTTGAACGCCTCCTATTCATGGAGGCATGTACACATGTACACCATTGTAGTAGTCTGCCTACTCTATGTCCTGTACATGTACATGTACTAACAGTATACGATTATTTGTAGTACAAAGGCATCACCCCCCCCCCCCCCCCCCAGAGACACATGCACACTCCCTCCACCTCCACACCCTCCCTCTTCCCTCCTCCATGCCACCATGCATGCGGTTTTCGTCTCCACCAAAGCCATCAATGGCTATCTCACTGATGTTGGTGTACAGAAGTGAGCACTGTCCACGGAATAACCGTGATTAGTTTGGTGCTAATAATGAGGGAATACACGCACTACACTCGTTACGTGTTCAATTCTGACACAATTTTCAAGTATAGTAAGTAGTCTTACCATGTAGATTGTGCGGTGTTCCTTCACAGATACTCGCCAGAAGCACTAAACACACAGACACACACAGACACACACAGACAGTCAGATACACAAGCAGTCAGAGTGCAAAGCAAAATCAGAACACATGTCGCTATCACAGACTAGGACCGACCGGTCAGGCCCTTATTAATAATGCACACCCCAGCTCCCAGTCCCAGACCACACAGCCGCATACACATTACATTAATAACAATACACACACGCATACACACGCACATACACTCAGGTTTTAGCAGTGAGTGGGACAACAGCTTTGCTTGATCCACATCTACTCCAGATTCTACTCATCCCAGTGTGGATGACATGGTGCAGTCATTATCTTACACTCTGATACAGTATACCTGTTATCTAATTAGCTATGCGTTGTATGTACATGTACATGTGCTAAGGCCAGTAAGGGTCTAAACTAAAGTAAAGGCAACACTTGCACAGCAGGTGCAGGGTCAGTGTACATCACAGACTGACCAGCTGCAACGCATCTGCACAGTACGGTGGACAAGTAGATATGTGCGTGCTAGATGCTATGCTAAACAAAGTAGCCATGATACAGTAGAAAGTGAGCTAATGCCGTAATGGAGAGTGTTACTCAACACAGCAGACACACTGATGTCATCAAGGCTGAGGTGTAGCAAACTGTCTCTCGGAAATCTAATATGTAGTTATACTCACGATGTACATAGGGTTATAATAGAACTGGAAGAGAACAGGGTCTACCCAGTACTGCAGTAGACTGTTGGAGTAAGTAAGTGTCCTCTCTCCTAATACCCCTCCCCCCCCCTCCCCCCTCCACGCCATATTATCATGGAATCTCTCGCCAGGACCTTGATCATGTGCATACAACACCCACTTCTGTACCTAGGTGTTGATATGATTATTGTGTTTGCTCCAATAGCCTAGGTAGACATGCGAATGCTCTGCAACTACAGCAGCTCTCTGTTTCTGTGGATTGGACATGAATGCAGCCATCGCCAAACACGTTTGACATGGAAGGAGCGCAAAATGTGTATTGGAATGGTGCCTGTGTTTGATAATAGCGAGGTGGGGTAAATTAGGTGAGTTGAGTAGGGCACACGCTCAGAAAGGGAGAGAGGGGGAGGGGGAGAAATTTAATAATAATGACAAATGCTCAGTTGACAGAATGAGAACCGACCGGAAGTATAGTTGGATTGCTTCAGACAACCAAGCCCAGCCTGCTAATACTAGAAAGCGGGCCGAGTGTCAACAGACAACTAATCTTGCTGTTGTTCACTCGCACATACACAACCATATCCCCCCACCAACGCCACCACCACCAACAATAACGACATGCAGTCTTCCAACCAACTTCTTTCAATCCAAAACACTTTTCAAACATTTCCTCTGAAGATAATCCAAGAGAAAGGAGGTTCGGAAGCTGGGATAAATCTCCGAATATCGCAAACAGCCCTAGTAATAGCAGTAACCAAATTTTCAAATGTCTCACCTGCAGCCAGCAGCAGCATGATCGCCGTGAGTCCACCCATCTGTCTTGTGGAGGCCATTGCCGCCACTCGTCTGGTATTACAATCACTGAGGTTTGCAGTTTGACAAACCCTCCTTCCGGCTGGGACAGGAGTAGCGTCCACCACTAGAGCACTTGTGTCCAACAACACAGTATCAGCTAGTCCCTGGTGTTGGTCAGTGTTCTCTCTCAGTGAGGCAGGGTCTAATTCTCCCACTCACGAACAATCAGCTGATGTAGAGTGTCCAATCAACAGCAGAGGTGTCAATACTCAACTCGCACACTCTGAAGTAATTTTCCAACACTTTGCAAGATGCGTGCGTACACACTGTTCGCTGAGAACTGAGATCTGGCGGAGAGGAGGCTATTCTTGTTTGCCCGTGCACCGCGCGTCTACACCCTGTTGCGCACCTATTCATTAGTGCATATCTTACTGCAGAATGGACCGTTCACAGGGTTGACGGAAATAATTCTCCAGCTCCGTCCTGCCTGGGCCCGTTACGCTGAGTGACTTGGGATAGACCTGCGCCCGGATATCTTATACTCAGACAGAGCACCACCACGCAGCACCGCAAAGAGTAAGTAGAGAGCACAGGTACTGAGATATTCGTGTTGAGGCACAATGAGTTGTAAGGAACTCAGCTTTCCAGGGGGATAGGTTTCGTTAGGCTAGCTGACACTGCACCTAGTATGTTCCTGCTAGATATATGTACAGGAGAAGTTCAGGAGAGGCACTGCCAGGGGTAGATCTCAGTACAACGCAAGTGGAGTGTAACACCGAAAGGCCCAGGCCCTTGTCCTCACCACTTCACTTGCCTTTACTTAGCTCAATGGGCTGTGTGAGAGGTTTTCGTGTACACCTCAACATCAGCCATCCAGCAACTGCAGCAGTAGAAGCAACATGGTCTGATCATCCATGACCTGCACAGCACTGTCTTGCACTGCCCTGCCCTGGACCTTTACCTACAGACTTCAGTTGTGTGTACAGAGTACAGAATTCACATCATATCCGTGACCACACAGCCCAGGTCACCGAGGTCTTGAAAACTAACTTGATGGTGCTGCCTCCTCACTCCGGTATGGCCTGGCTCCAATTATACTCACGAATGATGGAATTATGTACTAGCACTACCAGCCGAAGAAATGATTGTACTGCCAGACGCTCGAACCCGCATTCAAGCAGCTCAGGCTAACAGATCTACCAATACTGCAAACGCGGAGTGGTAGGAATTCTTCGGCTCTGGTCCCCGCGCTGTCAAGTCTCCGCAATCACTTCCTCCAATACACAGATCCTGACAATTGCTGTTGTCGAAGCATTTACTGATTTAGTGTACGTGGCTGTAGGCTGTGATAGGTAGAGAGGGGTCAGGTAGCGTGGTTCCACCTGAGCCGGCACTTCTTCGGCTAACACCAACTGTGTTTAAGCGATCCACGGCCAAGCCGTACTGTTAGTCTTTGCCTGGAGTGTAAGCTACTCACGTTTAGGGCTTTGCACAGTGGGAGACCGAGAACGAGAAGCCAAGAGGTCACCATGAGGCGAAATGGAGAATGCTACGACGGGTATTCACGAACACACGTTCTGCTTTGATCTAGTCTCAACTCTGAAGGCCAAACTGCAGGGAAGTAGAGTATGTACCCAGTGGTCGATCAGTGGCAAGCACTCATCTCCGAACACACCATTGCCTTCCTTCAAGAGCCTGTGACCCGGTCACGAGCCACTGCCATTCATGGCACTGCAAGGGGTTCTGAGCCTTTCCTGCCGGTTAGGACCAAGCTCTAGTCACAGTCTCTTTGCCAAGCTAAGGCCCTGGTTTGCACAGAATCCTAATGGCCTATCGTCGAGGAGGTCAGACCTTGTGTTTTCGACCACTTCATCTTCAGCAAACGGCGGCTGAATACTACGAACAAGGCGAAGGCACGAGCGAATGTGCGCAGGAATCTCTGGCATTGCGGGGTAGATGTGTAGTGCATAGTACAGTTGTTTGGAATTCGGGTCTTGACGCCATCGAGCCACAGTGTGAGAGCGCAGAGGAGATCCGTATCTTCCCTGCTGGCCCGCTTCGGCGAATCGGCGTCGAACATTTCCAGCAGCATACTGCGACAGAACCTCGCTAGCTACCTACACGTACATAATGCGGTGACTCTTTGCAGACTGTGCCTTGCCAGTCAAATGTTGGCTGAGTGTCGAAAAGACCAACAGTGGACACACGCGGAGTTACTTGTTACACATATACCATACCCATACAAACGTTAGCCTGCAAGTCAGAAAGCCGATGAGTCTAGGTTGATAGCCGAACACACGAGCCTTACCCATTCCTATTTCAAGGTTCTTCGCCCGGCCCGTGGACGTGCCAGAACTTATCTTTTTAAAGGTTTCACCTGCGAACTGGTGGTTCAACTGTCCCAAAATCATCGGCTTTTCCTGTTTCCATTCGCACCGCTCCATCGGCCATTTTGGCCAGTGTACTACTTGTACTAGCAAGCAGAATGTTGTGCTGAGTGCGGGTAGGTTCTGCCCCAAGCATGTCTTGTTGATAAAGTGCTAGTATGTATATCCGGATAGCAATACAAATACGAGTAACTGCTCCCCCCCCCACCCCTTTCAATGTCACATTGGCATTGTCTTCCAATGCTACATTGTCAGTTCTGTGGTTGAAGAGATTTTCCTCCGCACACACCCACACGCACACTATAAAGCGTAGATTCTGAGAGAGCAATCATGAAACTCAATATTCATCCGCACCTTCACACTCATCATTAGCCCTTGGCGGATTGGGGGCAGAAACATACACAGAATTTGGTACTTTATCTGGTATGTTTTATGCATGTCTGGAATGTGGGTAAAGAAATGGAGCAGAATTCAAGGAAGCGCCCGTCTGAGGGTTGTGTGGTTCTGCCAATTATTTCACGGCTTTGGGAGCAGAATCCGCCAATTTCTCCAGCATTATCCGCCTAGTGCTGCTCACCATACCGTCTACACTGCTATACTTGTAAGTGTGAAGTCCATTAGCATAACTTTATCTGGACAGCAGCGCCAGCAGCAGCAGTAGCAGCATCATCACCAGGGAGTCGACTACAAAAAAAGAAAAGAGCTAGACTATTGCAACGTAAGCAAAGAGATCTATCTCCTTTGACAACAATTGGCAGCCAAATAACTCTCTCCTGTTCAGAGGCGACGAGAAGCCATTACGGTCATAAATCCGACATACAGTGTATCTACAATTATAAGATGAGTGATGTCATAATTGTGATAACGTCGGTGACACTATGTTACGTAGCAGACAGAGGGCTCAGACTCAAACCTTGAAAACCATGTCAATACGCCATGGTAATATGGGCCTAGCTGTAGTTCATACTGCCGGTAGGCCTATATGCCCGGTAGGTACTGCACTGGTGCTGTATGACCTCACCTACACTGGCTACAGGTTACATGATCTGTGATAGTACACCATGTTCACACACAATGTTCATACACACACACACACACACACACGCACACATACACACACACACACACACTCTCTCTCTATCATACACATACACTGTAACACACACACACGCGCACACTCCCTCTCTCTCTCTCTCTCTCTCTCTCTCTCTCACACACACACACACACAAACACTACCATAGTCCTTGGAACAACCGGTACAGTGTGTGGAAGAGAAGTGGCAAAGATCACGCTCTAGCTGTAACAGCCACTAGATGTACTTGTCCTTGATGTGTGATGTACTCGGCATACATTCATTGTCCGTAACCTATCTCACAAACGTATTGAACACAAGAATGCTGAACCAAGTGGAAAAGCTGAGACTAAGAGGAATGAAGGGGAGAAGCCGGAACACAAGCGATATTATTGCCACGCCATGACCTGTCACAATGTACATGTACATGTAATCGCATTATGAACTACGATCAGTACAACATAAAACATACAGGCTATTACTACAGGTACATGCACAATAATTACTAGTAGTAGTAGTGGGTTGCGGCATGCATGCATGCAGCTCAAGAGAGTGCTCATTACACCTACATGTACATACGTCGTGTACAATGTACATGTACAGTAGGTGCTGAGAAGTACGTACACAATACTGTGCATGAATTCTGAATCACACCAATACATGTACACATTCTCTCCACGATCGTCATGTACATGTACATACATGTTGCAACGATACCAGCACAATGTATGCCTCCACAACTATTTTAATAGGCTAGTGTGACGGTGCAAGATGAGCATTTAAAACAACCGTCAATGCATGTACACACAATGACTATGTAGAACTAGTACATGTACAAGGCACACATTGCCGGCCCCACATCCCCAGAACACTTGGTCCCAGCTGACTGGGATGTTGGTTTGCAAAGTGAGCTCCGATTGGCGTCCCTAGTGGCAGAGATAGTCCTCTAGAAAACCCAAGTGTGGTAGACTTGGCGCCACAGTCTAGAAGGGTGACAAGCAACGCTCTACCTGTCTTGAAGTGTATGCCTTCACATACATGTTCACATACACAACAGCTACTCAGCCTAAAGAGACTTTGGTGCCTCTCAGCCCTTGACACACATCTCATCAAGAGAAGCTTTCTCTCTTCATCTTACATATCCGTTTGTGCCAGTCAGCTGATGGCTTTACGGACAGGATCGGAGGCACCATTATTATGCCACACACACACATGTACACACGCACACCGTGACGCACGTATACACAAACACACAATACGCCGTGACACACGCACGTATACACAAACACACAATACGCCGTGACACACGCACGTATACACAAACACACAATGCTCTTTGTAGGCAAAGCAACACTGTGACTCATGACCGTTGTGTAGTCACTCATGCGCATGTACTGTACATGTACTGCCACAACTGGCTTGCATGATTGCTATACTGCAGTGAATGCCAGTAATGCATGTATCCATTATGCAATGTGCAAGCCTGTGCATTGCGGCGATTGTCAGTCAAATATTTCAGGGAAGCCTACATTAGATAGTACCGTTGAAGTAACTGTTAGTTAATGAGAGCCTTACATGTACATGTACATGATTGCAGTCTTTCCAGACCACTACTCACAACACAAGAGCTGCATGTACGTACATCAGTAACCATTCAGTATACCACATGATTTCAGGCAAAGACTGAATCTCTATGCAAAGACTGAATTGAATACAATCATGGGGAATCAAAGCACCTAGGTATAACCTGAGATTTGGTGGAAACTGTACGTACATTGCACACTACTACAATTTTAGTTCACTACAAAACTCGAGGATACCTTGCCAAGTACCCGCCCTTCTTCAACTCGAGTATACCTTGCCAATTACCCGCCCTTCTTCAACTCGAGTATAACTTGCCAATTACCCGCCCTTCTTCAGGGTGAAAAGGTAGTCACGTGTGAAGATTCTTATTCTTATGCCAAGTTATGGTGGAAGAATCCAGGGAGTAGGACTACTCCCCTGCTACTGTATCTACAGGTCGCAACATGTGAATGTTGTGCTCAGCTGCTTGTTCCGAGTCATTTGTACAGTAAAACCTGTCAAGGCGACCACCTGTCCTAAAAGACCACTGAAACCAGGCCGAAGGAATTCTATTTCCAGTCAAATGATCCTGGATATGGAGACCACCTGGTAACAGAGAACACGTTTTCAAGGTCCCTTGAGCGGTCGTCGTAGACAGGTTTCACTGTACTTAGAAGTGTTAGTAAGAACAGTCAGTACAATTTGAAACTCGGATGTTGAGCGAATAATAAAAATAATGGAGAAAGGAAAAGGACAGTCAGTACAATCCTAGTCATTACATAGACAGGCGTGTATTATGCCATCACATGCACATGGACTTGCACAATCATGCTGTAATGATACTCAGACTTGTATCACGCAGTATCTGTACAGTACAAATTGTAACGATGAAACTTGGAAGGGACCTGGACAAAGCTGCAGCCAAGTGAAGACAGAAAAAAGGCTTCCATCCTCTGGACTGCAGTGCAAACATCATGCACTAATCGGATGTGAATACATGATGTACACCCCTCAGCTGTAATGACAGTCAATGTCCAGTGAGTAATGCAGATGACCTGGCTGTATGGCTCACTTGCCAGGATCAAGTACAACACAATACTGCAGAGAGCAAACAATCAGGCTACAGTATTCACTCTGCAAAGCAGCACTGAGCGTGAATGAGTACACATCTTCAACGGAACACTGATCAAGAGATATGGCCATGGGAACGTCAGGCTCCAACATTGCATGCTACTACTGCTGCTGCTGCGGCTGGTTTTCAGTGGAGCTGATATCCCCAAAACATCCCCAAAACATCACCAGCTCAGTACACTTCACACTGCACTGCAGGCCAGGGTTTACTACAGGTCAGCTGAAAGATGCACAAAATGGCACACACTCTCACAAACATAACCATGTCATGCAAGCACAGAATAATCAGTCACAAGTCTGCTGCAAGAACTGCTGACAGGAGAACTTCAATACCTCTTCCCCCCCCCCCCCCTCCCCACATACAAACACACAGCACGAAGAAAATGCCATGCACCCCCCCCCCCCCCCAATGCATGAGATGCAAACATGACCTGGCTCAAGGCAATACTTTCAAAACAAGCCAAAATGCTCCACAATCCTCCCCTGCAACACACACGCATCCAACAATCCAGCCGGCACATGACTTCATTTGCTTTGTATAATAATAATTATTATAAAAATCCACACCAGATTTAGGGGCAATGCTGGCATGGGACGTAGAGCGTGAGAAATGCGATGAGTAGAACTACATCCGTGTTACCACTATGTACACATGCTCAGTGTAAACAAAAAATATCTTGAAACGTAGCATCAAGCACATGGCTGGTGGACTGTGCATACGTCCAGCAGGGACACACCAGCATGCAGCACAGAGCAGATAAGAGATGTAGACAGAGTTCATGGACATGCACACAGGTACAGAGATGACAGTGCTGCTTGGTACACGTCCTGTACACACCATAGGCTACATCATGACCTCAGCAGGTACACACATACTCAACACACCATCCCACGATCGCCCCGCACACAGTGACAGGCGACGGGGATACATTGTTACACAAAGTGCTGGTTGGTGCTGCCACGTCACAGCCCCGCAGCACACCCACCAGCACTACCAACAATGCTAGGTAAGCCACGGTGACAACGCGAGGTACATACCACACTTCACTGCTCAATTACGCCAGTTCACTGCGCACGGAAGGGATGAAAACAGAAAAAAGAAAGCGAGAGAAAAATCAGCATGTATAGATGGGCGGATAGAGGTACAGTGTTGCTTTATAATCCGGCACAATTCACAATCCGGCACAATTGGTGCTACGGAAATTCTGCTGGAGTAGGGCGGGTGCTCTGATTTACTGCTGCAATGTACATGAAAAGGACATTTTGGTTACTGAAAGTTATGCTGGGTTACAAAAGGGTGCTGGTTTATAAAGTGCCGGAATAAAGATGGACGACTGTACTAGTGAACCAGTCATCCCCAAAAGCAAAACTGTCCAATACCGACAGTCTGTGTGGCAAACACAGCTAGAGATACTCATACAGGTCCATACCGACAGTCTGTGTGGCAAACACAGCTAGAGATACTCAAACAGGTCCATACCGACAGTCTGTGTGGCAAACACAGCTAGAGATACTCAAACAGGAACGTTACAAAGAGGTATTCATCTCTGCTGAGGCAACGCAGATCCTTACTTCCTCCTTCTCTATCAATACTGTGCGCACTGTGTGAGTTCTGCACATGTGTTTCACCTGTATCTTAGATAGCTGATACCAGGTCTATCTAAAGTACAGCACTGCTGTGGACATGGAAATGCGGTCGGAGGTCAAGCGGCCCAGGACACTGGGCATGCAGCCGTGAGTACGCATACGACCAACACGTGCACTGCATGCAACGTTCTGTACGCACTGACGGCGCCGGCCCCGAGTCATTTCACAGCATTTCCATGTCCACGACAGTACCTTTCAGGTACATGTACATCAACATGCCATGTGTTATCTTACACCCCCCCCCCCCCCCCCCGCCCGGATAGCAAGACAATGGTCTCCGGTGTCTGCTGGTCTACCGGGATTGCTGCTGCTGTTGATGATGATCTAACACCCCCCCCCCCCACACACACACACAGACACACACATAACCTTACACACTCACCTCAGTATAGCAAGACAAGGGTCTACAATGCCTGCTGGTCTACCGGGGCTGCTGCTGCTGCATAAGAGCCATCTGCAGCTGCTTGTACTTGCCCTGCACCTTCTGGATGTTGTCGCGCACTTTCGTAGTCTCGCCTTGGCCGTCCGCTAGTAGTTTCTCATAACGGGCACTGAGGAGCATTGGGGCAGAACAGTGTGCATACATGAGATGAGACAACATGACCGTTCACACGGAATCACACACGGCAAAGAGACCAGCAAAGTTCACGTGACGTGAACGCGCGTACACACACACACACACACACACGTAAACACACACCTCTCTCTCACACACGCACTTACACACACAGACACACACGTAACCACACACACACACACACACTTTTGCTAAGCGATCCAGTACACGATTGTAAGGGCCCGGTCACACATGCACTCAAAAGTAGCGGATCCGCTGAAGCGACGTCGCAGGAGCGAAAATACCATGGCAACGGCGAGAAGCGGAACTTCCGCTTCGGCGGAAACTCCAATCCGCTTCCTCCAAAATTTTCGAAGCGAGACTGTCGCTTCTGCGGTTTCGCTTCAGCGGAAAACACCGCGGTCTGCTGTATATGGACTTGCTACGAGAAATTTGTATGCGTATAATGTCCGTGCAACAAAAATGCGTGCAAGATGGTCATTGACCTCGTCTATTCTTCGTACCGTATGCACCACAGTCCACTTTACTCTCATTTTCCGCCAAAGTAGGAGTTTGCCCTGTTTGTATGTGAGCCCCAGCCAGCAGAAACCTGAACTTGTGTAATTTTTTCGCTCGAAATTGATTCTACACTATTAATCATTCAAGTTATCAAGTTTGATGACAATCTGATAAGCGAAAGCATGGAAAATAGAGTTTGAAGTCACACAGGTCAAGATTCGGTACAGTTGGCCTAGCATCCATGCCTAGTGACTCCATGCAAGTTGATCCTACAGTTTCTGATTGTGAAGTGGAACAGGTACATGTAAGTAAATAGAATGCAAGTCAGGCTTGCCCTCTTGGTGCTGCAGGCATGAGTAGTTCAAAAGTGTGACGATATTCCGCATACATCACTACCTTCTTTACAACACCAGAGTGCACAACGATGATTGGTGGCTGGCCTTCCAAATTGTGTTCAGGGACCTCTGTGCTGGCAGTTTGAGCGTTGTCCCAAAGCTTGCCATACTGATAGATGTACTGACCAATACCACTAACATCCACTCCCTTGCACACTTTCACTCAGACCATGATTTCAGCATAATAATTGTATTTCAATGATATGAGCGACTACTCGCGTTTTGTAGCACGTGAAGATGTTGCCCCAAAGCGTTCAGCCGGTTTGACTTTTTAGGGATCCCCTTTCTCAGCACAGGCAGCATCCAGCTTAGCGTCGTCTGGCAAGGTAGAGTGCTGATAATACTACGCTCTGTTTTGCGTCGTGAGAAGCCTTCCAATGCTCCATCAGTGTCTGCAACATCATTGTTGTCGATGTAGAAATACGGATCGCTCAGCGGGTCGACATTCAGCTTCTCCTCGCAGTCGCTATTACTCCCGCACTGACTATCGTCGCCACCAGTATCCAGTGTCGATTTTTTGAGGGCTCTTCGTTGCTATGCATATGAGACTCGCCACTGCTGGACAAACTCAGCGAGATCGCCACCAAAGAAATAATTCCGATCGCGAACTAACTTTCAGCGCCGCTTCCTACAGGGAGTCTCACGCTGACAACTCTGGACCTAAGTCTTTGTCGCGACACCTGTCGCCATCGCTGTGTCTAAACTCAACCTCCGTGTGACGAGCTCTCACCTAGCGCTAAAATCAATTGACCAGAGACATTTGAAGACACTTGAAACTCCTTTGACAACAAAGACACCCACTCGATCGAAAAAGAATCTTCAAAAGCCAGCTCACTGCGCGTCCCAAACTTTGACGTCACATTTTGATGATTGATATCAAGTACACAAGTGCTGGTTTCCGCTGGCCGGGGCTCATGTGTGACCATACACACGTGGTTTCGCTGGAGCGACACCAGGCTCGCTGTCGCAGAACCTCCACGCCGAAGCGAACCCCAGTGCATGTGTGACCGGGCCCTAAGGAAGATTAGCTCCCAGTCCCAAGAAAAGGCAATGTGGATGCAATTCAGCTCATGACTGCATTTTCACCGGTTGTTGGTGATTACAGTCTAGAAGTTACATTCAGTTCTGTGGTGACAGTTTTGGATGAATAAACTGCAGTGCAAGAAAGTGACTAAGAATGCACACAAGCTAGTGGCTCACTTACATTTCTTTATTGATATATTCTAATCTCTTGTCCACCGTCATGCGCGCCTCGCCTAAGTCCTGCTTCACAAGAACGGGTCCGACCATCTTGAACACGTTTGCCTCTTCGGCCAGCAGATCCAGCTCCTACACACAAACACCCACACCCACACACATCCACATGTTGCATAAGGAACAAAACACAGAAAATACAGGACAGCTGTAAAAAACCCAGCTATAGAGAGGTTTCACATCTTTGACATGTGACAAATTTGTGTTGAAAGCGATAATGGCACGTGGACAGTGGAACCAATATGGCCGACATCACATGACCTATTGATGCAGCTGTTGAGTGGAGTTGAAACCAACATGCCTGACCTGTATGGTCATGTGATAGATGTCTCCATTTAAAAATACACTCACACACCGTATGCACATGCATGCATGCACACAATGGCGCATGCGCACCTGTCACACAAGATAATCATGCAAATCTGCAAGAGCACTGGCTGTAAACACACTGGTCTTCCCGCATCTAGCGGCAACAACAGCAGACTATCGGAATCACACAGACACACAGACATGGGGACATCCGTACCTCTTTGACCATGACATTTTCTTGCCGCTGGGTTTCCAGATGCTCGCGGGCCCTTGCACTTTTCTGCAGATCTAGCGATGAGAAAAGTAAGAACACAATACAAATAGCAACAAACATAATAAGTTGAACACGAAGAGAGAGAGAGAGAGAGAGAGAGAGAGAGAGAGAGAGAGAGAGAGAGAGAAAGCCCCCAATGAGCAAAGGAAAAGCAGGCTGACCTCTACAGTAAAAGAGGGTAGACGAATGACATCGTCGTATACAAGAGATGATGTTATCGATACGCGTTGTACAGAGAAAAGAACGAGCAGTTGCTGTTTCGTAACTCTGAGTTTCACGAACTGAATCGATCATCAGACGAAAATTGAATTGAAACAGCAACTGCTTGTTCTTCTGTGTGTGTATTCCGCTCTTTGCCTATTGAGCCCTCCACGGTCAGTGGATGAACTTCACATGGTATATGCTTCGTATACAGTTATGTTTTGTATGGAGAGTTAGGGCATGTTCGATTGGTAGGATCGGGATCCCGATCCACCGGATCCACTGGATTCGCACCCTTTCGATTGGTCGGATCCGGATCCGGATCCTTCGGATTTGGATCCGGTCAACCCTCCTCGGGGAGCAGGGTTGACCGGATCCAACGGATCCAAATGTGACCTTTGTGCGTATATGGCTGGTAAAAATCATTTTTGTACACATTGTGGTACGCACACGTGGATGGAGATAGAACTTGTTGACTTTTTGTACGACGCACGGGATGAGTACGACGTTCACCCTTTTGGGTGCCTTAGGCGCCTTGTGAGCGCCATTTTCAACATGGCAACAGTCAAGGTCCAAAATAAAGTGTTCAGTTGAATCTGAAGGATCCGAGGGATCTGAGATCTGGATCCCGATCCTTACCAATCGAACATGCCCTATAACTCGTGCTGGTGATGTCACTCCATAAAAAACTCACATGACCACGTGAGTGCATCTCGTCTATCATACAATAGAGATTTCTGGGCGTTCCCCGTACCACCTGGGATGTGACATTTCAGGTTTGTATCAGTTTGTACTGAAAATGGCAATACCTTGCATGACGTGCAAGACATATTTCAGGCCTACATATCGTCCAGTCTATTGAACCGGCAGTCTAAACAATTGCCCGGTGATGTCTACTTCCCTGAGTATAATGCCTCAATTGCCATACTGGATACGCTTTCCGTCTCCTACTACAAGCAATTCGATTCTGCTTGCACCTAGGTATTGTATGTGATTGTGAGTGCCACCCATTTTCAAATCGACTGGCTAACATCACACAGGCCATAGAAGTAAGTACCCCTGGGCCAATGTCACAAAGGTACATCATAGGTGGAAGTACTCAACCACACGAACAAGAAAGGATCCGAACTCGTATCACCGGGAGACACTAGACATGACCTGCAATGCTAACAACAGCCAGCGATAACGTGCCTGCACAACTTCAGAAGGAATTTAGTACCATCATCAACGCAGTCGTTATCCCCAAGAAGTCAAAACCATGATAAAGTTACAAAGGTCATGCAATGCAAGAAAAGGCGACTATGCGCGTACCTTTCTGTTTTTCTTGGAATTTCTCTCCCAATTCTTGGAGATGCCTCTCCATCGCCTGTAGTTCCTTTATAGCAGCAGCCATTGTTACTGATACGACACTCCACACGTACTTCCAAGAGGAAACACAGAAGTGAAAACCTGATAAAATAATTTGCTTCTTGGGGAAAATAGGTCTAGTCTACACAAAAAAGGTAGAGCAAAAAATATTTTCAAAAAGCCTGCAGCCATCCGTCGTGATGACACGTGCATTCGATTGGCTAATCCGAGTGCTGTGCTGTGCTTGTAGTAGTCTACCAGTTCTATACTGTTTTTCTCGAACACACCCGTGGAAGAATTTTGAAAAGGACATGTGTCACCAGCTGACTGTGGCTGTGGCGATCTGGAAGTGGAACTGGATCATTTTGAGCAGTAGCTTACTTGTTTCAAGCAGTCTTCTATTTCTTCTTCATCGCTCATTTTCTCAAACAACACTAAGATGCTTGGTGGTGCTAAACCTGCTCGCCCAGCTGATGCTGAGGTCCAAGGCGTTTGTGACAAGGTATGATCAAATCAGTAGCGATCTGACGACTGAGGTCTTTGAACATGGATAACATTTGTTTGAATCATAAAATTAATAATGGTGAGGAGCCTGCTCATATGTATGTGGTAAACCTCTACGCTTTTTGATGGGCAACAAAGACGTTTGGACTTCTAGCTGAGATTATCAAGACTGTTTTGTGTGTAATTTAGTGTTAGCATTCAGATACCATGGTACACTTGGACTTCAGCTGGGAATGTTTCAGACACACATGTACACGTACCATTGTAGCTATGTTTGATATGAATGTAGCTTAGTTGCAGTTGATCATTCTTGTTGGGAACGGTGATTGTAACAATGCTAACATGCTGCAATGGGGATTTAGAGCAGGTTAAAAGGGCAACACATGGAAGCCTTTGGTGGTACTAAAAGTCTAATCAATAAATTAGATCACGTCCGTATTGTTATTTTGATATTCCTGGACAACATGAATTGTATGTCTCCCAACGTGGGAGCTCGCGCTTTTCCTCCGGACTTGAATCTCACTTGCAGGAAAAGCGCGAATTCCCATGTAGGGAGAGCGGCACACAATTCCCTAAGTACAGGGCTGCTCAATGAAATCCAGTCGAGTCACTCAAGTACGCGCCGGGCATTGCGCAACCCTAGACATGCGAACACTGGGTTGCAAAATGGTGCAAAGGGCAAACTTCATTGAGCAGCACTTTATCACCCAAGTCGCAACAACCTCTCCTTCCCATTGGACACCATGTCCATGGGTGCTTTATGGATATAGGACGAATGCGGCAGCAATACACGTACCTCGCTCGACGGCACCCATCCCGTACATTTTTTGATCAAAAGTGGTATGTGTGCGTGTGTGTATGTGTAGCTTTCTTAGATCATCTCAATGTTGCTTGCACTCTGTATGTGTGTGTACTCTGTGTTTCCTAGGTACGGCAGGAGGTTGAGCAGAAAGCCAACGGTGGAAATGCGTATGCTATGTTTGTTGCTACCACTGTTAGCACACAGGTCGTCGCTGGTATCAACTACTTTGTCAAGGTAATCCTCGCCACGCATCTCTCTGTATTTCCTATCTGTCTGTCTGTCTGTCTGTCTGTCTGTCTGTCTGTGTTTCCGTCTCTTTGTCTTTCTGTCCGTGTTTCTGTCTCTGTCTCTCCCATGAGCATGACCCACCTATAAACAAGTGCAGTCCCCGACCACATCTTTCTACTGTCCGCTGGACACACTTTGGTTGAGCGACTCTTTTCTTTCTAAGTCTTGATGAATAGTAGCTTCGTTGTCTGTTTTTGGTTACTGTAAGTCAACAAATATTCGGCGCATATTTGTTTTCGGCTATATTCGGCCTGGGTATTTTTGGCCTAATATTTGTTGTGGCCGAAATTTTGTTTTGCAAAGTTCAGTGTGACAGTGTATACAGGCAGCAGCAATACAGGCTGAAATTTTAATGTGGCAGAAATGTGTTTTAGCCCTGGGAGGCCGACATTTAATAAACACGCCGACAATTTGTAGACTTGCAGTTTTAAATTGGCTCACCATCCGGGTTCAACTTACTGTTTTCATTCCGTGGATCACTTCCTAGCTATCGTAATGAGTATGCTAGTGGGGTGCATGCTGTACTTAAGCTGGCAGAGGCCATTAGTAGTCGGCACGTCGTCCCTGCATCCCCTTTGTCTTGTTTCATGCTGTCTGTTCTGCACATGGTTCTCAGTAGGTCTGTGTTCATAGTCAAACAAAAAGAAGTTCAAACAAAGTTACAATACGCTGTCCTTCAGACTGCTAGAGGTTACTAGTAAAATTTAGTATGACATGCTGTCCTTGAGGCTGGCAGAGGCTACTGCTAACGTTAGTTACAATATGTTGTCATGTTGTGGTTTGGTATCATGGCACCGCAACATGACAGCACAAGGCACATGCAGTGTTTTGTAGCCTGGCGTGTGTGTGTGTGTGTGTTTGTGTGTGCCATGCCCGTGTGTGTGTGTGTGTGTGTGTGTGTGTGTGTGTGTGTGTGTGTGTGTGAAAAAAGACCAACAAGTAGGGATTCTCTGGCCAGAAAAAGCCACTTCATAGCTGTGTGGTGTAGACCAGGCTGAATAGTGGCGGTCAATTCTTCAGCCTTGCAAGCTGTTGAATGGTGCAATCCCAGCACAAGCTGCTATGGCTTCTGCTGTAGCATCGCTATCATCGCCTCCGGCGATGGGCGTCCAATGGTGTGTGTGTGTGTGCGTGTGTTTGTGTGTGTGCCATGCCTGTAAACTCGGCGTAAAGTAAAGTCAATGTTCACAATGACAATCTTATGAAAACATTTTGTGGGAAATACAGTGTTGCTCTATGAAGTTCGGTCGGTCGCGTAAGTCAAGTTTGCGCCTTGCACCATTTCGCAGCCCAGTGTTCGCAGGTCTAGGGCAGCGCAACGCCCGGCGCGTACTTGAGTGATGCGACTGGATTTCATTGAGCAGCACTGGAGAATTGAAAATCTTTCAAGATACACCTTCAAAGTGAAAAAAAGCATTCTAAGGAGTATTTGTGCCAACCATTGACAATGATTTTTGAATGAGTTTCTGTGATGCCACTTCACTCCTGTCGGTTTTTTCTTCTTCTCTGTCCTCTAACCCCCCTCCTCCATCTCTCTCTCTCGTTCACCCACTACCTCTTGTGTGGAGCAGGTGCAGACGGGTGAAGGTGCGTACATTCACGTTCGTGTTTACGAGGACCTCTCACAGACCTTCACTCTTTCGGCCTTCAAGACTGGCATGACACTGGATGATCCCATTGGTTATTTTGAGTGATAGTGTTCTTAGCACAGCCTCCACTGATCCGGACTCATTCATGCACTACCTCATTCATGCACTACCTCATTCATGCACTACCTCATTCATGCACTACCTCATTCATGCACTACCTCATTCATGCACTACCTCATTCATGCACTACCTCATTCATGCACTACCTCATTCATGCACTACCTCATTCATGCACTACCTCATTCATGCACTACCTCATTCATGCACTACCTCATTCATGCACTACCTCATTCATGCACTACCTCATTCATGCACTACCTCATTCATGCACTACCTCATTCATGCACTACCTCATTCATGCACTACCTCATTCATGCACTACCTCATTCATGCACTACCTCATTCATGCACTACCTCATTCATGCACTACCTCATTCATGCACTACTTCATTCATGCACTACCTCATTCATGCACTACCTCATTCATGCACTACCTCATTCATGCACTACCTCATTCATGCACTACCTCATTCATGCACTACCTCATTCATGCACTACCTCATTCATGCACTACCTCATTCATGCACTACCTCATTCATGCACTACCTCATTCATGCACTACCTCATTCATGCACTACCTCATTCATGCACTACCTCATTCATGCACTACCTCATTCATGCACTACCTCATTCATGCACTACCTCATTCATGCACTACCTCATTCATGCACTACCTCATTCATGCACTACCTCATTCATGCACTACTTCACATTTTTTTTTGCTTTTAAAGTAGTATATTGCCAACAGGATCACTGAAGAAAACAAAATATTTCTTATCTCAATAGTAGCGCAACAGCAGTCTTTGCTCCAGTCTTCAACTGGACTCTTAGATCAGTTTGAGTTGTCAGCCACTGTCATGCTGGGGCTTAGACACCATGCACTTGCTCAGTGGCTCTGCAATTCTGCTTTCCCTCCAAATATGACATACATGAACGACCGATTTACGTCTAATTTCCGTAGTTCTACCGGTGTTACAGTTTATCTTTCTCAATCTGCAGCAGACTGCTCAAACTATCACAGTCATGTACTCATTACTTTCTATGTTGGAAAACTATTTTCGAAATGCCCCCCCCCCCTCCCCGACTCAGGTCAGTATTATTACTAAAATTAATACTGTTTTCTCTGTTCTAGAAAGTTAGTAGAAACCATGTTCTCGGGCACAAATGACATTCACGTTGTAGGAGGGATGGGGTTATGCCTCATGAGGCATATTGTCTTTGCGGCGAGTGAGCAGTGTAGCGAGAAGGAGCTAGGGGTGTGTGTGTGGTCTCTGGCAGCCAAACTAATCGGTAGGGCACTGTTCCCGGGAAAGACAGGGCTGCTGGGTTGGAATCCCGTTCGCGTTTCCTTCTTGTGCAACAGATGTACATTGGTAGTCATGATGCAACATAACACCGGATTCCCACACGGCACTACAGACACCTCAAAGTACACCTCAAAGTATGCGGAGGTCTATTTCCTTGATAACTGTACATGTGAGTGTTGAGTGTGGAGTAAGAAGAGTGGAGGACGGAAACGAAAAATGAATACACATGTATGGAAAAAGGAAAGAAAACATTGATGCATCACATCAAAGCACAACTGGGAAATGATTAATGAACATTTCGGAACATGCGACCACGGCTAAGCAGTAACGACAAGTACTATAGTCACGTGATGGGTAAGTGCATAAGAGGATTAGAGAATATAGACTACTGACTGGTGAAGAACAGAATCATTCAGCAGATTACTGGGGACATTGAAGAACACGCCGTCAGCGGCAAACAGCAACTAAACCAGCCATGATAAAATCCAAGATGCCTTTAGGCATCTTACAATGGTGCATCTGCCTTAGCCCATGACAGGACGATTTTATCTGCATCATTCTGTACTTTCTGGGCTTGAATGCGAATGAAGGAGATGTCACTGACTTGCACCTGAACACGTCACATCACAAGACAACACACAAACGCCTCAAAATCATCACATCATTGGACAACATGGTCATGTACTGCAAGGGCTGGGCGTGGTCACGTGCTAGCGTCGCCTGCCGGAGTGGCGTGATGATTGCCCGCCGCTCCGCCCCCCCCCACCCTCTCTTTAAAAACTTATCATACCATTTTAACCCTTAAGTCCTGTTACAACTGGTTTGCGCCATTACTAACATTATTCACAATCCTCCGTCCTAATGATCAGCGTTCATTCCCAACAAAACAAATCAGATCGCCAAGCCGATGAATACTGACCAATATTCACAATCAGTTTACTAGGCTCGCACTTACATGTACATGTACATGTATAAGCCAAGAAATGACCGGCAACAGTTTACATGTGTATGCACATGTTATCCATAGTTTGTTCAACACTGACAGACGTGCAACAATTATCACACTCGTGACACGTGACACTGACTGATGTGACACTGATATTCAACAGTTTGATGAGCCTAGCTCTATCAATGGCTGGCATACTGATCTAGGATAAAGATTGCTTCAATGGACGGACAAGGTAGAATGCTACATATAATAATTATGTTTGTGTGTACGCGCCCAATGACAATATACATTGCAAAGCACTGTATGACAGTGCGTGGCACCAATAATATTATTTGAAGCAAGTTAAAATTTGTAAGTTACGGTCACCATGGTGATGAGGACACTGTAGTTCAATTTGCTTACCCTGATGGTATACGTAGTGTCCGTTGAATCGACTGTATACTCCAAGCTTGTAAACTGGTAGTAGGGATGTCTGCCATTGTGGTGATTCTGGACATCCTCCCTAACCTGTCAAACACAATTTAGAAGGGATCCAGCATGAAAATCTCACTTGCAAAGAAAAGTGAGTTATCCACAGACAATCACGTACAAGTATGGTATCCAGATTCGAGCATTGCTTTTTTGATTCTCACGGGTTTACCGAAAAAGGGAAGGCGACACTATCTCTCAGAATTCCAATCTAAAATATTGTGTTCCCGAATTGAAGAATCAACATTGAACGTTACAGGATGCGACGGAATCCTCGTACATGTACATGTACATGGCATTATGTATACTCGTACACGCCGTCCGTATGTTACATTGCGTGGTACAATCATTCGTTTGCCTTTCACAGGGTGCCCTGTAAAAAGACAACATTGTCTGTAGGGATATCCCTGTTCAAAGAATTAATACTACGACTACTTTATGGTGTTTGTACTGAGTGCCCAGCTTACTCTATTTACTGCGTTAATTACATTTCTATCTCCAGGTTTAAAAAAAAACTACTTTATACAATAATTACAGCTGCTAACTTTATAGCTGCCAACAGGTTCGCCAAAACGTCACTCAACTTTGGTAGATAGTGAGTGAAGAAAATGTTTTACAGGTCGAAGTAAAAATGTCAGGATTGTGTTAAGAACAGAAAAATGGTAAAGTAATGGAGCGAATAGGGGGTAAACGCAAGCCTGCCCATACACAATCCCTTCAGTTCTTCAAAACAGTACAATTGCGTACGGTCTAATTTTCGTCTATCACTATCACTAAATCATCACTTACAGCGTCACAGACATCCTGCGAGACTTTATCTCCATTGTGCGACATGGTGATAGGTAAAGAAGTGATTGGCTGGAAAAGCTGGAAAACAAACTGAACTTTCAGGAATAGGTAAACTGATCTCATTGCTACCGACATGGTTGTTTTATACTGTGCCTGGCCAACCCCGTTACGGAGTGTTACGCTACATGTATGTTGCTAGGATGGCGTGACCAGTGAATATGTCCTCTCGTACATATTGGATATAGGACATGTATTGCGGATACTGTTGACACTAGGAAGCAGCGACGATGTCATAATGACATGCAGACGTTGAGTGACTGGAGCAACGCAGGAATGCTGAATTCTGTTGTATTTGCTGATGGCGAGCATGCTGGCGAGCATGCTCCATGTCACGAAGTATTTACCGCCAGTGTCAGTATTTGTCACGGACAAAACGTGGAGAAGAGTGTTGCAGAATGTGTCGGAGAGATATCCATGGTCCAAGGCCTGTGCTTCTAATCGCATGCTCCTTAGGCCTTACAATCGCAGTGAGTTAGGAACATACTGAGTTAACAGCTTGTGTAACTTGCTTTCATCTCCCCTGAGATCCCCCCCCCCCCACACACACTCTCCACACTACACTCAGCACAATGTTAAGCATACACTAGACTGATGGTTCCAAAATGACGCCATAATTCCGAGTATGGTCCTGCATACATTTGTCAGTTTAGACCAACATCTCAAAGGACCTTGAAGTCGCCCACACGTAAATCTACGCACACTCACACCAACTAACTACATAATTATAGACACACGCAGACATCCATCCACAACCAAACACACAACCATGCACAAACCAACACACACGTGTCACTGACGCCCACCAGCACTGAGAATAACCGGTTGTCTCTATTATCATTTTCTGTTTCTCTCTCTCTCTCTCTCTCTCTCTCTCTCTCTCTCTCTCTCTCTCTCTCTCTCTCTCTCTCTCTCTCTCTCTCTCTCTCTCTCTCTCTCTCTCTCTCTCTCTCTCTCTCTCTCTCTCTCTCTCTCTCTCTCTCTCTCTCTCTCTCACTTTTCCTCTCCTGGAAAGCTCCTCATGCTCATTCTCCCTTTCTCTGTCCATTTCCCCTTCCTGATGCGTAGACCAACTGATGAACCCGAGACCACTTGGTCGGGGGAGATTGACCTACCTCATTGGCACTCATGCCAGGCTCCTCTGTGTTGTCAATGTTCGCTTGTCCAATTTTGTCTACCTCCCCTTTTATCATGTTTATGTTGCTGGCCAGTGCTTTGTAGTAAAAACAAAAACAAAAAAAACACACACACATGGACACCACAGTCACACACCAGACACACACACCACAAACACACATACACACACATACGCACGCCTGGAGTGGTGGACCTCGGGCAAAGGCAGCCATGACCTACAGCTATACTATGCGAACCCGTGGGATGAGCAGTTAAACACGCATGCAGATGATACTCTGGAAAAATTGAACATGCTTAGAGCCCGCCTTTGCAAGGGTGTGTGTACTGTGTGTTTGTGTTTTTGCGTGAACGTTTGTCTGGTGTGCGCTTGTGTGTGTGTGTTTTTGCGTGAACGTTTGTCTGGTGTGCGCTTGTGTGTGTGTGTGTTTTTGCGTGAACGTTTGTCTGGTGTGCGCGCTTGCGTGTGTGTTTTTTTGCGTGAACGTTTGTCTGGTGTGCGCGCGCGCGTGTGTGTGTGTTTTTTTGCGTGAACATTTGTCTGGTGTGTGCGCTTGTGTGTGTTTTTGTGTGAACGTTTGTCTGGTGTGCGCGCTTGTGTGTGTGTGTGTGTGTTTTGCGTGAACGTTTGTCTGGTGTGCCCTCTTGTGTGTGTGTGTTTTTGCGTGAACGTTAGTCTGGTGTTCGCTTGTGTGTGTGTGTGTGTGTGTGTCTTACTGTACGTGTGCATGTGTGTGTACGTGTGTACGTGCGCATGTTCCGCAGACAATGGGCGTCTTGAGGCGGTTGTCCAACTGAACGAGTTACGGCTGCCTGGACCATACGAGGTCTCGGTATCATGACAGCTTGTCATCAAAAATTGGTTCTTGTCACACAGCCATGCAGCCCATCAGGATATAGTGAAGGAACCAGGTCAATGGCAGTGTACAAACCTGTACTTCTTGACAGCAGCACTATAGCCTTGGACTTGACAAGCAGACGTGATCGTAAGTCAGAGAGATGAGTATGAACCAAAATATGCTAGAACTAGACTTCATGCCAGAACTACATGTCAGCAAGGATTGTGCACGCGGAGTAAGAATTGACCGTGAGTGAGTAACATTGTGACGTCACGCAAGGCGTTATGAATAGTACTGTTACTGTACTAATCCTCTGCGGTCGAGTTGGAAGACGAAATACGGAGAAAGTCAAAGAAATCTCTGCACGTTGCCGCGCCCAGCACACCGCACGCACGGCGCAACAATACCTTGACAAGTCCGCATCGTGCAGCGCTATCGGGCTTGAGCAGCATAAAAAGCAGCTTTGTTGTTCCCTATGAGATCAGTTCCAAAGTGTTCTTGCAATTCTTGTCTGTTGAGCAGTCCTTGTAGCGATTCTTCTCTCATCCAAGCACCATGGCTACTATTTGTGAGAGCAAGCATTCCGCAGACGCAACCTCACGAAGTGTTTGTCATGATGTAAGCGATTACGCAGCCTGTTTTCCATTATCTGGCTGCCCCCAGTAGCTGGTATAGTGACTATGTTCCAGATGATTCCCTATTGTGGACACACTATTGAAGTACTTCGAAGTACCACAAGAAATATAGTGTGATTACTGGTGTTTTGAATCATGAGCTGAATATCTGGCATAAATTCACTCTAGTTTTGTGGTTGGCTTTCACCCCATCCCCTTTGCTTGGACACTACATACTATGAGTATGAGATGTGGAAAATAAAGTAATACTTGTAAATTTGTCTATGCTATTGACTCCTGTGCATGCACATGTACGTGTTCGATGTGTAGGTTCGGCAACACACCACGGATCAGTACAACGGTCAATTCACCTACCAGGAATTTGACGATTTGTTTTACAAAGTCGTTGCTAGCAATCCAGCTACCTACATCATCCAGGTATGGAAACACAGCGTCTTATACATGAAAATCATTTTGCTAAATGATCATGTGCATGGTGTTCGTGAGATGAAGCAGCTTACATTTGTTGGGCCTGGCTTTGCAACGGCCATGCCCTTTTTGACAATGGCGGTCACCTCTAGGCGCAGACGCCTCTCACCTGTGACATGCGGCTCTTCCTCAATGAGTCATTACTTGTACAAGTACTAACATTAATAGCCGCTTTTGTTTGAAGTTGTATTTTACATCGCAAACCAAAATGGGCATGGATACCCAATAATTAAAATGATGGGGATAAAATGAAAGATGGAGCGTTGCAGTAGACCAGGACTGGCTCGGTCAAGGGCCAGGGCAAATGTTTCGACTATAAATCAATTATTACGTATAACTCGTTAATCACTATCCCTCTCGAAAACGATTTCTTCCATGGGAACAATAGTTCCAGAACAATCCACCAAATGTTCGGGAGCGGAGCAGATTTAAGGTGGCAGCCTGGTCGCAAAATCCCTGAAAAATCGAATTTGGAAATTCATATCGAGTGCTACATCAGTTGAAAAAGAATGAACAGCTGCAGGAGTTTTGCCACCACCCTCGTGACGTGCTGAAATGTGGCTTGATTATTGTAGTTGACGTCGTTGATTGAGTGACTTTGGCAAGTTTGAGTCGTGTCAAGAAGTCAGGTAGGATTCAGTACTAGGCAGTAGTGGAACGTCATTGGTAGTCTTTTGCCGATTTTGGAGGGTATCCTGGATTCGGTTTGAAGCGCTGTGGAAACGGCTTGCTGTGAAGGTCCCAGCACTGGATGTTGTATCAAAGGTACGACCTCGTAGAACGCCCTAAACCTAGAAGAATTCAAAAATAATAATTGACTTGGGTCTCTGGGAGAGTGTGAGAGAACGCCCACTCCTGCCATTGTGACAGATTCCAGGGCCACGTTGAAGGGCCCTATCCCACCACCCATGGCTGCTTCTGAACTTTTTTAGGTTTGGATCCCGCGCACGGACAGAATGGGCAAGAAAATGTGAAAAAATTGTAAATGCATTTTGGCTCCTGGGTAGCTCGCAAACCGTGGCACTATGTCGGAATTTGAGTTTTTCCGGCCTGGAAAGCCTATCAGTGAGGCGTAAGAACTTTGAAATCATGTCCAAAGGCCAGCATAGTGGCAGGAGTGTGTGGTGAAAAATTCACTCAAATCCATTGAGAGACACCAAAGTTACGGTCAATTGAATGCCATATGAAATTTACGACCACGCTGCTGGAAAACATGTCAACTTGTCTAGTCGTTCACTTGGTATTACCGTAGACAGTGTATTAAAATTTTGCGATTTTTCTGTGTTCATCAAGACAACAGGAATGTTTGTTCACTTTTGTTTTGTGCATGAAACTTGTAGGTGAGTGTCAGCCCTATCATCAAGATTATCATCAAGGCCCAGAAAGTCGGAAATGAAAGAGCCACGCTACTTGCTGCCAAGAGGAACGGCAGCTTGAGTGACGAGGACTGGGCTTAGTGGATATGTGCACGCAGCTGTCTAGGATCTAGGTCACCTCAGCGAACACCACTGTTCCCACAGATAGTAGGGACTCGAATTGTTTTTCTGAAGGTCACAGTTCCACAGTCCACCACTTTCCAGCCATTGTTCCGTTGGCTATTATATTATCCTGTTTTATTTTTCTTGCATTTGCTACTCGTTCTCTCCTTCCACATTGACATCCGCTGGACATTGTCATCAACTGTCCTATCTTTGCCACTTTTTCACGTTCATACAGTTTTCAGATGTGATTTGATGTCCTGTATCATCATCATAATGAAGTTGGCAGGAAAACCGCAAGCTCCCATGTAGGGAGCAACACACTCTTCCCATGCTATCGCCGAAGTCGCACCAACAACTTCTTCACATCATAATCATTTTTATAATCATTTTTTTGCTTATTTCGTGTTTGCTCCACCTGATTGTCTCTCTCTCCTCCATGTTTCTTTCATGTCATTTGCAATTACTAAAAGAAAGTGTGAAATAGCATGCTTCCTATCTCTAGTTACATGGTCAATGTGTGGGCGTCCGTACGGTATGTGTGTGTGTGTGTGTGTGTGTGTGTGTGTGTGTGTGTGTGTGTGTGTGTGTGTGTGTGTGTGTGTGTGTGTGTGTGGTAGGAGTGTGCGGATGATGCTCGAAAAGGTGGCAGATTCTGCTCGAAAAGCAGTGAAATTGGCAGAACCCTACAAACCTTATGGCGGGCAATTCCTCGAATTCTGCTCCATTTCTTTATCCACGTACCAAACATGCATGAAACTTACCAGAAAAAGTACCGAATTGTGCAAATCTTTCTGCATGCATTATCCGCATATGCCTAGTGTGTGTGTAGGGGCGGGGGAGGGGGGGGGGAGGGGAGGGTGCGTGTGCCTTGCAAGCTGTTGAATGGTGTAATCCCAGCATAAGTTGCTATGCTAACATAGCAACTGACGTCAGCCCTAGCCTTACTGATTAAAGTCAAGGCACTTCCGAGGATCCTCTCTCGAGCCAAAATCCTGTTGGTGAGCGACTCTGTGACGCGGGTGGAAGAAGCAAACTGTGCGCTCAAGGTCCTTGGATTGATTAGCCCCGATCCACCCAGGCAGCAAGGTAGCTCAAATAGGCTACGTGAAACATTGCCTGGGAACGTACGGCAGGTTAGCTCTGGGATACAATTGTTGCGTGTGGTATTCTCAAGCGGCTCCAGCAAATGCTCCGGTACACTCATTGCTCGACAAAGGGAAGTCTATTTTCCCCGTAATCCCGAGGTAAAGACAGAATATTTGAAACTCAGATGTTGAGCCATAAATAAATGTAGAAAGGAAAAGGACATATGGATACGAGTTAAGAGTAACTCTCCATCACTGTAACTGGATACTATATACAGTCAGAAAGTGCAATAACTAGGCACAAAACTGACAAGAGTACTGAGACATTCGACGTCCTGACACCTAGCTTCAACACATCTCCGTAGCGCTAACCGACAGCCTAAGTCAGCCTTCCAACTTGGAAGGTTCAAGGTTTTGAAAAGACCAAAGAGGGGAAGGCAAGCGCAACGAAAACGAGCAAAAGCCACAGTCCCAACGGAACAAAGAATGTCGATTGTTACTGGACGATGACGAGACCAGTACGATATTTGACAAAGCGGTCTAACTACAATTCGAAGCAGCAAAGCAGCACACCACCCAACTTGGGTGGGTCATAAATATCAAAGATAAGTAAAGAAAGGGGAAGCTTTGCGAAAACGAATTGTACAAGCCGAAAGCCAAACTCTTACAGTACTCCTCATGCATGACATTGTGATGGACTAGTTGACTACAAAACAAGTACTCTTGTCAGTTTTGTGCCTAGTTATTGCACTTTCTGACTGTATATAGTATCCAGTTACAGTGATGGAGAGTTACTCTTAACTCGTATCCATTATGTCCTTTTCCTTTTTAAAGACAGAATACTGTGATTATCTTGATGGTAGGACCGGGCGGTTAAAGTTGATGAAATGAACTGATGATAAATTCTTCTCTCAAAACTATATTCCCTGGAGTGTAGGGAAATGACGAACTTAAACATGCACAAACAAGGCCGGTCTAGTCAGGTAGAGTGCTCAATGCACGAATGTGCAGAGCAGTATACAATGTACATACACAACAGAGCAGTATACAATGTACATACACAACAGAGGCGAAAGGCTGTGTAGCTGTGACTTTTAAAAGTTTCACGCATCGGAGCGATCATCAGACAGCGGCATTCACTATCCAATCCTCTACGAGCAGGCCTAGATATTTGATGCTAATGGACGTTAGTGCATATGTGTGAAGTGTATACGTGGCATTGGGGCAGTGGCATTGAGTTGTTTGTGAGAGTTAGCGGATGTAGGTGAGAATAGAGGCGATAACAGGGCAGTATTACCTAGTCATTGAAGGCGATAGCGAAAGTAAAAGCAAGAACATAGCAGGCGTGAAGACGGAGAGAGAAAGCACCATGGCGCCAAACCTGGTGCAGGTTGCGCCATGTGGAAAAACAATTCGTGTACCTGATGGTGAGAATTTGGACAGGCACATGTATGTATAATTGAAATCAGCATTGACAGTCTACAATCGGTTGGTACTTCTCCTATAACTGCTGCCAATCGCTCCGCGATTTCCCGTGCAAGAGGTGTTAAAGGAGAAGTATGACCTCTTTTTCACAAAGAGGAAGTACCGGTATACCCTAAAATCAAATTTTCACCAGTTGTAGTCTTCCAGGGTGAAACTCTGAGTTGTAACTGCATGATTGTATACTTTATCGCACCCCCCCCCCCCCGCCACTGTGTGTATGGTTCGGGCTCTACCTAGCGGTTTGGAATGGTCTTCATTCCGTGGAGAACTCTACATGTTGATGATTGGTTGAAAACATGTCACAAAGCGGCTATCAGCCAATCAACATGTTTTCAACCAAACCAGGCTAGCAACATGTTTTCAACCAAGCCAGGCTCACCCAATAGAACTCTTCGCAATTGGACACCTACAGAGTATCCGAGATATTCAGGCAGAAGTTCATCGTTCTGGTCTGGAGGTCTCGGAATGAGCACGCAAGTTCTGAACTGCAAGCCCTCCTAGTTCCTTCGGCAGCTGGCCCAACTAGGTTGCACTCCACCATGGGTCTGCGCCAACCGCCAGTTTCCACCAGGTTCGGCAAGGGTTGCCTCGCGTTCCGGGGCGCCCAGCTGTGGAACACATTACCCAGCGATATACGTGCCATCTCCACGCTCCGCCAGTTCCGCGCCAGCATGATCCCGCACACACTTACTGGCCTTAGTACCTAGAGTACCAGACGTCCTGTTTGATGATCAGCTGGCTTAGTTTTTCTCCACCTCTATCCTAATTACATCAGTCCCCAATTTCATTTATTACTGCTTTCTATCTGCATTCGCCACCTTTTCATTGGGCAGATCTGCCCGTTTGGTTTGCGAATTAAAATAAACACAACAACAAACTCTACGTGTGCCTTTGTCGCATATCCATGTAGGGTGATGTGCCCCCACCCCCACCGTCGCCACCACCTCCGTCCATTCCCATTATTCTGCTCTATCACCAATGTACATGTTCACTTATGTTAGTGACCCATAGAAATGTTGAGCGCGGCAAAGAACGTTCTCTTGATTACATTGCAGGATATGTCCTGCATGGTGGAAGGTGTACTTCAAACTCAATTGCCTGACGGCAAGAACGGGTGGCGGGAGTCCAGTCGATGAAGACTGAATGAACGGGTGCTAAACTCTTCACTCCAAACTATAATTCCCTGGGAGTGTTGTGAAACGACACATGTACGTACAGTTGAGATCAGCATCCACTATGATTATACATAAACATTCGGTTGTTACCCTAGTCTACTATAATGTTTGTCATTTGCTCTGTGATTTCCCGGGCAAGAGATATTTAAACAGCATACGGTCATCTCGTCCTCCCGTAGCGGTATATAAGTCAGGCTCTGCTGCTAGTCGCGAGTATTACTTTTGAAGGAATCTTTTGTCAATTGTTCACGGCCCCCAAGTCCAGTATAATAATGTCGACGTCAGTGCAAGAAGCATCAGTCCAAGCAGATTCAAAGGGTGACTCCTGGGACTGGAGCTCTCTTCCATTGCAAGTTGCAGATGTCAGCATTCAGAATACCTGCTCTGAGGTACGTTATGTACATGTTAATGTGCATGTAGTGTGCTCATGAATACTAGTACTTTTGAAGTATATGCACACGCACCTAATACTAAGCAGGCTGGTGTACTGTCTGTAATTGTTGATTACACCGACCTATCAATGTGTGCTTGTTGTGAGTACTTTGCTCAACTGTGAATGATTCTAATCCATCGTTACGATGCTTTTGGCAAATGCCCTAATTTAATCTTCCATATTGTGGATTCCCTCTCGATGTGGATTCTCTTCGATAGAGAGGTTTAAACATACCCGAAGATTCCACTACTGCTAGTGAGAAGTCGTAGAATTTCCCTTTCAATGCACGTAGATTAACAGTCGTTCATAGGCCACACGGCATAGTTGTGCATTCCTTGGTGATGAATCCAATACTCATGGCTATTTGGGGGTAGAGATAGCACATAAAAACACCATGAACATGTTAAATTATTAGAGTTTCTGCGTTTGAAATAATCGAACTGAGTGTAACCTTTGTTCTGCCTCACCTACCCCACCCATGTCAAGGTGCAAAAGGCAGTCGAGGAGAAAATAAACGGCGGAAAGCCGTTCGGTCAGTTTCATGCATCAGTTTACATCCAAAGCGGTACTGAAACCATATCCTATCGCATAAAGGTGAGTGACTAGCGACAATCATGAAAAAAACTTTGATGTGTATGCTGGCGGTGTGTTCCAAGTTCTTGTAATATATCTTGCAAATATAATGACTAGGCCGCAGTCAGCTAAACATGTCTTTACTAGGGCTTCGTAAAAATTTCGAGACATGACGGAATGAAGAATTGTTACTGTCGAGCACGTTCACACTGCGCTTCATTCATCAATCGGTGGCGTGAGCATTTTGTCGAACTTCGTTCTCACACTTATTTGGCGTTCTAGTCCAAGCAGCTGGCGAGCAAAGTGACATTTGTCTGGAATACATGTTTTTCACCCTAAGACATGCTTTCGCTGGCTGTGGTTCATGCATATCTGGATCGTTACCCTAACTCACTGGGATTGTCCTGTCCTGTGTGTCCTGTGTGCTGCTTTCATTTAAATTCGTCGACCAAGCAGTAACACGTGGCAATTTTAAAAGAGCGTACAATGTATATTAGTTTGGAAGGCTACTACGGTAATATTATAGTGTAAGTAGAAATAGGAGTGTGATGGACATGACACTCTTTGGTAGTTACAACGAATGATGTGCTCTGTGTCGTGTGTACGAATAATGAACACTCAACCAAGCCGGAGGACTCTCATTTGTAATAGGAATGCCCAGAATACAGTATGTAGTAATTATTATGTACATGTATGCCTTGTTTCTGTATTATTTTGTCTGCAGGTTCGTGTCAATACTGTAACGGAGATTCGTCTGCAGGTCTATCAGTTACCCTTTCGGGTTAGAGTGGCGAAAATGGCTCCTGAGCTGACTGCCGTGTCGGGTGATGGTCCGCTTGATGCACCCTTCTAACACTATCATCATCCTATGATTTTTCAGGTTCTTGTTCATTTCAGCCGCCAAAACAACCTGAATATTCATTCACTGCTCCCAGTTTTTGTATGTGTGTATTGGATGGTTCCTCAATTTTGTTTTCTTTTGCCTTGTGTTTGCCGCTACCCGCCTGTTTCTGTTGTATTACCCGCCATAGTGCTGAACAATGCGCTTTACGATATTCCGTTATTTTTGTACTTCTTTCTAACTCCTTCAACGGATGAATACACCCGGAGTGGAATTCAGTGTCTAGGTGCTCAGAATAGTATTATTCGGTGCACGAAGGATTGCCATTGTTTCTGCTCAGTGTTCTACTTTTCACGATAGATTCATGTAGTATGTATCATTGCCATGCGTTTTATACAACACTGAAAAGCAACGAGCTTTTAAAATTAACTTCTCTTCTCAATGACTGCTCGTTTTGTGGCAAGTGTCCAAGCACCAGAGAGGTGAGGGGGGGGGGGGGGGGGATTCTTGTTCATTCGGGTGTCTGTCCAGAACATGGTACATGTACGTACATGCTCGTGATGTGGATCACAGTCAACTGGTTGTACAATGTCATGTACATGTACATTGTAGCTACAAACACTACTTCTATCTACCCAGCATAAATATGCATGCTGCTTACTAAGCCTGATCGTGTGCAATTTCGACATCAACGCACATATATGTACATGTATAATACTTCAGAAGTACCACTTCATTAGCAGAAAAGGATTCTTACATGTACATGTCCCTCTGGGCATGCTCGTCTGCTTGCCCGTTTGAATCGCGAAATAAAATATACACCACAGGAACAGCAACATAAGATAAGATGCCCTCTCTTTCAAACACCAATTGCGTGCGAGCCCCATCCATACTGTTCCTGGTTCCTATGGGAAACACGTAGAGAATACGGCTGGTATGAAACATTTGAAAGTTGGCGGCTGAACAACCTGAACGCCTTATCATCCCTCGAAACGCTCTGGACATTCGAGCGATCATATTCAAGGGCACAGTTGTTTCAGGGGTGGACCGGCTTACTCTATGGGCATCCTGATCGCCCATAAGGTCTTCAACGTAAACTCACACAGGTATTAAACAGCTATTCATGTCAAAACACACTTCTTTCTGGTCGCTTTGAATACCGTGCAGCGTCCAGGCTACGTTCCCTTTGCACCGCGTGTGCGACCTACCCAGGGTTTTCTGTGGTAGACTCCACCGCGTGCGGTGCTAGTTGACTTTCCTATCGTGGAGAGGAGATGGCCAAGTGAGTTACTGTTGATGAAGGGAATGTGCCGGTAGAAGCAATTGTTGGCAGAACTAGAACGCTAACGTGATTATTGTGATGCTTTTCAGAGATGCATTGGTACACTGGAAATTCGTGCGCACCATACTGCCCTCTCTGTCAGCAGCTTACATACTCACGAAACGGTATAAAATAGCGGGTATCTACTGGCGTAAGGTTCATCAGGAACCACAGACAGGACTCCGCAAATGTAAACTAGTATTGCCTAGTCCAGTATTGTCGCCTAGTACACATTATGTCAGAGTCAGCGCAGAAGCTCGGAGGGTGGAGCTCCCCACCTAAAGAAGCGAATGAAAAGGTTCAAGCAATATGCTTTCAGGTAAATGATTCTTACATGTACATTAGATGATCGGGCTGATTCATTGTTTAAACGAGGTGAAAGGCACGTGGTGCTCAGGAATCACTGGGCAAATTCAACGAGCTTCTGATCGTATCGCCCTCTCCAATAATCTGCATAATGCATAATGCATTATGCATTATGTTGAAGGTATACTAGTAACTTCATGTACATTTGCACTCGTTAACCCTAAGTGTTCACTCATCAATTTAACTAGAGCCCTCCGACCCAATACACACGCCCCATGTTAGCTTTGATAACATTATAAGTAGTATAGAGCGACGGGGTACTGGACCACACTGCAGTGGCCCAGTACAGTCAATCTCGAAGTCCCTTCGGGGGTCCAGTATCGTCAATCTCGAAGTCCCTTCGGGGGTCCAGTATCGTCAATCTCGAAGTCCCTTCGGGACAACTCGATCGTCTCCCCCTCGATCAATACTACTGTAAAGTATGTATGATACTGAGTTGCTGTATATCAGGAGATAGTTCTTTCAAACAGTTCCCCCCTCCCTACCATAAGGTCTCAACCCTTTAATACAAATCCCATCAGCATTTAATGGGTATATTAAAGGATAGAGTGTAGGAGACTCTGAAACCCGAGATTGACGGTACTGGACCACCGTAGTGTGGTCCAGGTCCAGGACACCCTCAGCCTATACTACTATTATATTCATTACAAGATAATGGTTGTATAATTTAGCAAGTTCGCATTGACGTGAACAAGTGACTGGCTGATTGGCTTCGCAGGGACACTCAGAGGACATAATACATGTATAATTATAGAAAAGCAATAAAACTTCAGTGTCCTGATAGCCTGTTTTCTGTATCCTTTTCTCCTACATGTATTCCATTCCAAGGTCAGAAAGGCCGTCGAGGACAAAATCAATGGCGGACATCCGCTGGGCCAGTTCACGGCCAAGGAATATATTGAACAAGTCATTGAAGGGATGAATTACCGTATCAAGGTGAGTTATTTCTAGGGTTATCGTACATTTGGGGTGTCATCTTAGTTTTGTAGTCGATTCAATGATTGTTGGCGGATTCCGCCCCTTGATGCTAACGGGCCAAAGTGGATCGCCGCCAAAATTTTTCATCGATCCAAATGATACAAGGTTGTGAATGGGCCAAGTTTCATGACGGCCAGGAGTTTCACTTCAAGATCAGCTGAAGTTGATTGTTGATCAAAAGCAAATTGTACATTTTAAGTGTAGCGTTCACAGGCAAACCACTTTGGGACAATCACAAAGGTGCGACTTGAATATGTTCTCAAAAGTGAAGGTTCTGCTTATCAGTACTCCGTAAAAAAACAGTCATGCAGAAAAAGCGATGCAGTCACAAATACTGGTCATCACAAACTGTGACTTTATTCATACTATGGTGGTTAACACACACCTGGCAGTATGGCGGTAAATACACGCCGGCCATTAATTGAACAACAGGAAGAAAGGAGATAAATTGCTGTAAATACAGTCTGATGCCATACATGGCTGTAAATACACAAATACAAAATTATTACGGGTTGTTTCTAAAGCCACAGTTCGCCTTGTCAGTGAGTATTCTCACTACTACTTCTTCTTCTTTTTTTAGTGTTTATTTGAATTCGGATAGTATATGCACTGCTGGTGTTGGGGTATATGCACTGCTGGTGTTTGGGGTATATGCACTGCTGGTGTTGGGGTATATGCACTGCTGGTGTTGGGGTATATGCACTGCTGGTGTTTGGGGTATATGCACTGCTGGTGTTGGGGTATATGCACTGCTGGTGTTGGGGTATATGCACTGCTGGTGTTGGGGTATATGCGCTTCTGGTGTTGGGGTGTATGCACTGCTGGTGTTGGGGTATATGCACTGCTGGTGTTGGGGTATATGCGCTGCTGGTGTTGGGGTGTATGCACTGCTGGTGTTGGGGTATATGCACTGCTGGTGTTGGGGCATATGCGCTGCTGGTGTTGGGGTGTATGCACTGCTGGTGTTGGGGTATATGCACTGCTGGTGTTGGGGTATATGCGCTGCTGGTGTTGGGGTATATGCACTGCTGGTGTTTGGGGTATATGCACTGCTGGTGTTGGGGTATATGCACTGCTGGTGTTGGGGTATATGCACTGCTGGTGTTGGGGTATATGTGATGCTGGTGTTGGGGTATATGTGATGCTGGTGTTGGGGTATATGTGATGCTGGTGTTGGGGTATATGCACTGCTGGTGTTGGGGTATATGTGATGCTGGTGTCGCTGCTGGTGTTGCCCCTAGACTCGTGCATGGAGCTACACTTGAACGCTCAATGTTCGATTTTTATGAACACCAAAGACGTGATTGTTAGGTACCTGCTCCGGTACAACCTTTTCCAAGCTGGCCTGCATGCACCCTCGTACTCAACTTTTGTCTTCTTTTGTCACCTTTTGTTCCGTTGGCCCATATTTGCCATAGCTAGCCAGGCCCTTTATCTTGCTGCCCTCACTTGATCTCTTGTCTCTCTCTTCCACAATGCAGTCGTTCTGTTTGTCGTTGTCTGAGTCTCTTGATCTTCCCAAATTAATGTCGTCCCATCTAACTGTTCCCGTTGTCCGTTGTGTCTTGGGGAGTATGAATCGTCCTTATTAGTACCAAACATGATGTACGGGTATTATGAAAGGAATTCTAGACATTGCCTTCTTTTCCTGCTTTCTATCTTTTCTTGATTTCAGGTCCAGATTAACACCGTGTCGAAGATTCGTATCGAAGTATGCGAGAGTCCCATCGTACCAGTTCCGCCCTATCTGACTGCAGTTGCTGCTGATGGTCCTCTCAACGATCAACCCTTCTAGTGCTAGCATGATCGCCATCGTCTTCTTATTATGACCATCGCTATGTTTCTTGGTTTTCAGTTGGTTGTTTCATCTGTCGTGTATTTCTTCAGTTATTTTGCCTCCTGTTTTCGGCCATGCATAAGGACAACACTGGCCAATTACCCTTCAATTTCTCGTGCTGTTGTTGTCTACTTGAAGTAGGTCTCAATGTATGCCAGTATATGTGGAGCGAGTAGGTTCTGAAACGCCTTTCCTGTACCCACAAAGCAATAATAGTAGCACTTGACAATGCACTCCCCCACCCCATTCCACGTTTTGCTACAAATTACCTGAAACGGAGGGAGCGAGGGGAGTTTCCCTTTGACAGGGGCGGGGGTCGCTTACAACACAGACTAGGGCGACAAAAATATAATATTAGGCCCAAACAAATAATGACCTTGTTTCCGGTCGGCCGACCGGGCCACTTTTTCCCAAATTCTGAAACTTTTTTTGGTCCCAAATGTATACAAACGATGGCATGCAATGCCATGTATATGTGTGCAAGTGCACTCAACGAGTCATAACTCAGTCAAATCTCAAACGAATTCCACAATCGAAAAACCTACAAGGTAGCAAAGATTCTCAGCTGTCGGCTCGAAAACCTCTGGGGTCGATACGAGCTAGAATAACGGAGCTGGAAGGACTCGAACTGTTTGCTTGATTTCTCAGGATGTACGAAAACAGGAATACACCGCATGCTGTACAAGAACAGTGAGTCAGTCAACTCTGACATTGATCCTTGCCATGAATATGTACAATGTACATCATGTACGTACAATGTGCATGTGTAGGTGCTCTTGTCCGTCAATACCACCACGATTGAGGAACCAAAAAAAGTATCCAAAAAAAGTTTCATTCCGGCCGGCCGAGTCTCCCTTTTGAGGGGTTGCCGACCGGAAACAAGCCTATTTTTTGTTTTGGCCTTATTGTATTTTGTATATTCGGCGAGGAGACAACAATTTTAATATTGCAATAAGGAGGACGAGCTGAAGAGATAATATTATTGGATTACTTTATTAAACGGTGTCAGGCGATGGAGATGATGCGAAAACAATAAAAGGTGAGGAGAAAGGTGAGGAGATGTACATGTATTTCTCCTTACCTTTTAGATTGTTTTCGCATCATCTCCATCGCTTGACATTGTTTGATAGAGTAATTTTAATGTCACTTCAGCTCATCCTCCTTGTTGCAATATTAAAATTGAATTTTGTATTTGTATTTATCCAACATTTCCTGGCTCGTCAAACGACTGCCAATGACAGAATAATGAATGTGAAATGAAGGGTGCTAGCCAACCAGGGCAACTATCCGAAACAGTGCAAAGATGTAAATGACGTGAAGGAATCGAGAGTCGAAAATAAATCCAGGTCAGATCAGGATAAGCAGAGGCAGGCGCAGTTAGATCAACGCATGTGGCTGATTGGTTTGTAGGCCTGTCTGCGAATCATGAAGTCCCGAGTTCAAGACCCGCGCTGGTTGCAGGGAGCATGTAAAAAGACTTTTCACGCGTGTTGAACTGCGCCGACACCCACGGTCAACTGGGTACTCACAGCTCGGAGTGAGAATAACAAGGTAAGGATGCAGTTTACAGGGTTATGGGCCGTTACACGCCCGATTGGTTGAGAGGCTAACCTCCTCTCCCCTGACTCACTTGTGAGGTCTGCATTCGCGACCAAGTATTAGTTGAACAGGCATAGTGGTGGCCTGCGGATGCGAAGGCTAGTTTGTGTGTTTCTGATAAATTCAAGCGATGCCGTCGCGGATCCCGCGAATATTATAGGCGCAGTTAGCCAGAGATGATATTGATATCAGGGCATGATTTGAGGCTTAGAGGCAGAGCAGACAATAGGGATATGCGGAGAAGAAAGGAGACTTCAGGTACAGGGAGGATCGGACACGTGGTACGGTTAGCGCATCAGGAGTTTAGCCATTACTAGAAAACCAGTTACTTGTATATTATGGAAGAATATGCCGTGGAACCTGCGCGCGACCTACTCTATTGACAATGTGTTCTGGTTTCGGTCAACAAGGGGGGATAAAGAGCAAGAGTATAGAGAGATTCAGATGAGAATGTTGGGTCTTTGCGGAAAATTACTTTTAAGAATACGTGCTGATGTACTCCTAGGTTATGATGAAGCTGTTGTGACAGGCCACACCAAGCAGTATCACAATAGGCAAATATGGGTAAGATATGGGCCTGAAAAAACAACTATCTGCAACGATCAGGTAGATATTGACAATGGGGCTGTAGAATGGCTACAGAAGAGCTGGCTTGCTTGCATACAGAACTGACTTGTTGGCTCCTATGATAACACTGAGGTGCTTGTGCTGGTCCCCAGTAAGTATGGGGGTATGATGACCTGGAAAATGCAGTGGCTGAGCGGGAGGGGAAGCCCCGGGAAGGAGAAATGTACATTGCCTCGGTTTTCGCGAGGTTGGGCTTCAGTGCCCATGTCTCCATTCAGGATACGATGATGTTAATGCCATGCTGCATCAAGACAGCCAAGCTGTCGGACGAGCTGTCTGTGCACATACATACATGTAAGTGCAGTTTCGTCTGCAACCAGACTGACGCTGTACACGTTTTGTAAAGTAAAAAAGTAAATAGTTATCGAGTCCGTTCCCGAAGGAAACTCACGACGGCCGCTAGCACCCGGTAAACCCTAGCGGCAGATGCAGCTCCCATTTGTTGTGGTAGATGATTTTAAGTTAATGATTCACAAACGTATTTTAGCTACACAGTATGTCGTTTGTGACCTCTTCGATAGGCCCTAGCTTTTGGGGTATCAAAAATGACGACAAATGCATTTGATCCGCTGTGGTACATAATTGAAGACAAGTTGGTACTGAAGTACCACTCGTGACACCATGAGCGATAGAACACCTCATGGCATGAACTCCATCGCCCCAAAGTGCCCATGCATCCCTGGGAATATCTTTCCCCGTGCACGGATACCCGTGCAACCAGCAACGCGGTACTGTACATGTGCGTACATATCAGATAAACCTTGTTTTTGTTCAAACAATCGTCATGTTGTTGGTTGACAGCATGTACCAAGGTGGAGGACACCGTGTGGCTCTACTAACCGTTGATGGTTGTAGAACGGTCACTGGTTCCGAACCGTCCCGGTGTCCTCCACCTTGTTACATGATGCTGTCAACCAACAACAAGTGTGTGCATGTACATGTACAATGTACACCCTTCGGTTATCTCGGGCCCAGGGAACGCTAGAATTAACAACATCGATTGCAGTATACCGGGAGATGTACCCAGTGTGCTGACAGTGCTCAACACCCTGGCGGAAGCAGAGCGTAGCACAGAACAATAAGAGTACATTGTATCAGGCAACACCAATACGGTACTGGCCATGCCGGTGTATATGCCAGGAGAGGGTGGATCTTGTAGCGCTGTGCGATAAGCTGTGTGTGAATGTGGGGGCTGTAGAGGTCGCGTTGCAGTATATAAAGGCTTACACCAGCACCCTGGTCTGCAGACAGGATTTACTAAGCGTCTGTCATTGTTTCGTTAACAATACGGTTGTCCTTCCGTACTCAAAATGTCAAAGTCTGCCGTCACCAAATTACTGGAAGATCTCGGAGAATGGAGCTGCGAACCCAAGTTGCCCCCAGATGATTTTATTGACTCTTGTATTCAGTCAATCTGCTCGAAGGTATGTCCAATGTACATGTACGTTCAACTGAATTGTGAAGTTATCTCCCAGGTTGAGGCCTTCTGTTTGAGTTAGCGTTTGGAATTGTCCATGACTTGGAAAAGGGTTCTATTCAAGAATGATATCCTAAAACCCCCAACCTTCAGCCCACCAAACGTACCTATCTGCATGACTGCATTGACTACTGAGCAGCAAGAGTAACTACAGCGAGATTAACTACTGTGCTTTTTGAAGCCTTGTGCAGAGGGCGAAATTGTAAGCTGTCACGTGATAGATCATTGCTTAAGCCTGTCCATGCGTGCATAGATTATAATATGAGCTACATACAGATGGTATATGTCACGTTATGTGGTGTGATAACGACCAGGGAGCAGGAAAGAGAGGAAAGGGAAAGTCAGTTAGTCAGTTAATCAAGTACTTGTACGAAAAAAGAAGAAAAAAAGTACTTGTACGAAATAAGGCAAAAAGATTGAGTGATCCAAGCAGAATCAAAAATTAATATGAACATCAGAGTTACGAGAGTGAAACTGAGTTTATGCGTTCATGTACTTCGAAATAGCAAGTTTGAAAGAAAGGTAGCGTTAAAATAAATCTAGGCCTGGAAAATCGAGTGGAAGACAATTCCAAAATCAACCAATTCTCTGTATGAATAGAGAAGAGCAGATGCGGTCATGCGAGTTTCAAACGAGCGTTTGGGATTTAAGTTCACTGTGCGCATTGATAATGGTAGAGCATTCCAGGTCCTCGGGATGACAAATTTAAAAAAATGTATTTGAATAGAACAACAAGGGAGAGGAAAGTTCAACGGAGTTGGAGGGCCAGACTGGAATTGTGTATTCAATTGTTTGCCATAGTTGCTAGAGATTGAAAATAAAATCAATTTCCACCATTTAAAACCAAAACGAACTAATGACCTTCATAATCAAATTGATACAGTATCTGTTGTTGTAGATTTGGAAATCTTGCAACCTCAAATTCATCTTCTTTAGAAGCTCTCTTGGGTTGTTTCTTCAAGTACACATATGTACATACATGTATATATCTAAAGTAGACTTAGAGTGCCGATTATCCGCACACCTCGGGGCGCGGGCTGTCTCCGCTCCAGGGAGTTCGAATGAGAAAAATGTTCGAATAAGGGAGCAGTCACACATCCATCTAAAACGTGCATATTCCCCCATATTTTCCCCCATGCTTTCTTTCATGTTTTCCCCCCATGTTTTTCCCCATATTTTCCCCCATGTTTTCCCCATGTTCCCCCATATTTACCGGGTGTTAGTGGCCGTCGTGAGTTCCCTTCGGGAACGGACACGATAATTTACTTTTTTTACTTCCCCCATATTTGTCTCCCATATTTCCCCCTGTTTTCACCGTTTTTCATTCTCGCTGTAGGTGCGAAAGGCCGTCGAAGAGAAAATCAACAGCGGAAAGCCATTTTCCCAGTTTCACGCAACACTCTACATGCAAAAGGATGTTCTCGCTGGTGAAGGCACTAACTACCGTATGAAGGTGCGTGCTGTGCATCTACCTGTGTTCCCAAATCTGTCTGTATGCGGGAGAGTAATGCTATGCTAGTATTATTAAAGAGTTGGTGGACAAGCCGTTGATTATTCACTCTCATTGTAATATCAAAAAGTATTCTTTCTAGACCAAAGAGTGGTATATTTGATAACATTTAATAACGATAGAAATTTTTACGATACTTCTCCAGACGTTTCGTTGTTCTGAACAACATCGTCAGTGGATAAAGAAGCTAGTATTATTATTAACTTTTATTTCACTAGGGTGTTTCCCACAGACCTATGGTCTTCTTACGGGAGCCCCTAGGAAGGTTATGCATGCTAGATGTTTACACAATGTGTTCTGGAGAACAATACCTTGCGGTGCTGGAGTTTTTCCGCGTTGTGTTTCTGAAACGAGTGTACGGCGCACTCAGCTATCAGTGGTAACTTGGATACAGTCCTCTAAAGTGTTTTGTTTTCAGAATTACAAACATTTGGAAAGCTTTTTATCGACACGTGAGTCTTTCACACAGGATATGCCGGTATCTTGCCGGTATTGTTAGAGCACCTTCTACGAGTAGAGAAGCTACTTCCACTATGCACACAATGTTTGTGACAGATATTGTGAAGTTGCATGCTGAGTTTGTTATCAAGCACAGCTAATTACAGCTAACAGTGCTATCTGAACATACATGTATGACACAGCCACTGTCCAGATCAGTGGGACAAGTATTCAATGATGCTCGTCTTGCTACTGTCGCCTGCTCTCTTGTGTTCAGGTTCAGATCAATACGGTCTGTGAGATCCGTGTTCAGGCATACCAGATGACACTCATTATGCAGGGAGCGGATGTACCTGTTGAACTGATTGCCGTTGCTAGCGATGCACCTCTTGGTGCTCCCTTCTAGGAGCCGCGTCACGTGACTCCTTCAATTCTTCCCCCCTCTATGCATTACGAGTGCGAACTGGGTTTTTTTTTGTTGGCTGCTATCACTTATCAGTATAGCTTTCTAGCCCTAGAAACCCTGCGTCATCAATCACGTCATTCGCTGCTTCATATACTTAAGTTACGCTTTCCACACTTTCATTGCCTAATAATGGGTTCCAGTCTCGTTGATTGAATGAAAATAATTATGGTGTGGAATCAGTTTTACAGAGTTCAAGCGTAGCTTGTAAAAGGAGAGGGGTGACGGATTTGGGAAACAGACCGGGCTGTCAATTGTGAGATGTACTGGATATTGGTCTGTTGCCGAAATCGTACCGGAAGTTTATGTTTGCGATATATTCGCAGAGCATTTTGTGTTGAAAGCTTGTTTGAAATGAATACTATTGTCAAAGGGAAACGTCCATCACTCAATCAGTTTCAAATATATAGCATTACTAGTACCTGGAAGTTGAAGCCAGTCACTAGGGAGGTTTAGTCCCACGTAATCCGTGGGTACTTTACGTGTGTAGCACGTGATACTCAGTGACCCACGTACAGACGTTTTCTGATTCACGACATACCGTGTATGGAGGCTCACCCACCGTTCTGCCAGAACATGGGTGAAAATCAGAATGGAGTGCATTGTACGAGCTGTGAGGGTGCTCAGCTGAAGAAGTTTCCAAAGCACGAATTCAAAATATTGGATGAGCTTCTTAGGCCCGGGTAGCTTCGTCTTTGACCAGGTTTGGGCCTTTCGCGTCATGCTTTTGTTTGTTCCGTGTGACTAGACACAACATTGCAACGTGGGTGCCCTTCATCCACTTTACGTGGATCACCCACGTACGCGTTTCCGTTACGTGGGAACTAAACCTCCCTACTGTTGAATATGAGCTTAGTGAGTAAATAGCACTAAGCACACACGCACACACATATAAACACAAACACGCACACACACATATAAACACAAACACGCACACACGCATACACATACATACACACGTACCGTAAGAACACGGACACATTGACCAGGAGACTATTTCACACTTTCTTTAATAATTGCAAATAGCATGAAAGAAGAGTGGAGGAGAAAACGACAATCAGTAGAACAAACCCGAAATAAGCAAAAAAAAGAATGATCATATTGATGATACAGGATATCGAATCACATCTGAAAACTGTATGAATGTGAAAAAGGGGCAAAGACAGAACAGTTGATGACAATGTCCAGCGGATGACAATGTAGAAGGAGAGAACGGGTAGCATATGCAAGAAAAACAAACAGGATATTATAGCCAACGGAACGATGGCTGGAAAGTGGTGGACTGTCGAACTGGGACCTTCAGAAAAACAATTCGAGTCCCTACTATCTGCGGGACCAGAGGTGTTCGCTGAGGTGGCCTAGATCCTAGACAGCTGCGTGCACATATCTACTATTACTAAGCCCAGTCATCGTCACTCAAGCTGCCGTTCTTCTTGGCAGCGAGCAGCGTGGCTTTTTCCTTTCCGATTTTCTGGGCCTTGATGATAATCTTGATGATAGGGCTGACACTCACCTAAATTTTTCATTAACAAAACAAAAATGAACACACACTGCTGTTGTCTTGATGAACACAGAAAAATCGCAAAATTTAATACACTGTCTACGGTGATAATGAACGACTAGACAAGTGATGTCTGCGGCCTTCATCCTATTCATAGCTATATTAAAATTATTATCTCCACGCAGGTTATTTGACTAGACAAGTTGACATGTTTTACTTAAATTTGTTCCGCTCTCGAGCATTCGGTGGATTGTTTGGGAACTATTGTTCCCATGGAAGAAATCGTTTTCGAGAGGGATAGTGATTAACGAGATATACGTAATAATTGATCAGGCGAAATATTTGACCTGACCATTGACCGAGCCAATCCTGGTCTACTGTAACGCTTCATCTGTTATTTTATCGCCATCATTATAATTATTAGGTTTCCATGCCCATTTTGCTTTGCGATGTAAAATACAACTTCAAACAAAAACGGCTATTAACGTTAGTAATGACTCATTGAGGAAGAGCCACATGTCACAGGTGAGAGGCGTCGGCGCCTAGAGGTGGCCAGTTTTGTCAAAAAGGGCATGGCCGTTGCAAAGCCAGGCCCAACGTATGTAAGCTGCTTCATCTCACAAACGCTATGCACATGATCATTTATCATTTATTAAAATTGATTATCATGTATAAAACGCTGTGTTTCCATACCTGGATAATGTAGGTAGGTGGATTGCTAGTAACGACTTTGTAAAACAAATCGTCAAATTCCTGGTAGGTGAATTGACCGTTGTACTGATCCGTGGTGTGTTGCCGAACCTACACATCGACCACATGCATGTGCATGTACAGGAGTCAATAGCATAGACAAATTTACAAGTATTTATTTATTTTCCACATCTCATACTCATAGTGTGTAGTGGCCAAGCAAAGGGGATGGGGTGAAAGCCAACCACAAAAATAGAGTGAATTTAAGCCAGATTTTTAGCTCATGATTCAAAAAACCAGTAATCACACTCTAGTTCTTGTGGTACTTCAATAGTGTGTTCTCAATAGGGAATCATCTGGAACATAGTCACTATACCAGCTACTGGGGGCAGCTAGATAATGGAAAGCAGGTTGCGTAATCACTTACATCATGACAAACACTTCGTGAGGTTGCGTCTGCGGAATGCTTGCCGTTACTAGTAGTAGCCATGGTGCTTGGATGAGAGAAGAATCGCTACAAGGACTGCTCAACAGACAAGAATTGCAAGAACACCTTTGAAACTGATCTCACAGGGAACAGCAAAGCTGCTTTTTATTCTGCTCAAGCCCGATGCGCTGCACGATGCGGACTTGTCAAGGTATTGTTGCGCCGTGCGTGCGGTGTGCTGGGCGCGGCAATGTGCAGAGATTTCTTTGACTTTCTCCGTATTTCGTCTTCCAACTCGGCCGCAAAGGAATAGTAAAGTAGTATTGCTATTCATAACGCCTTGCGCGGCGTCACAATGTAACTCACTCGCATGCCAATCCAGGAAGGAGACCAACAGCGAAATTACATGTTTCATATCAACATTGGTCCAAAGCGTATTGTACGCGAACTCTAACTCATTTTCACAACGTTTTGTATTGCAAGCATGATCCATGCGACGAGGTTTGTGGGATTTCACGGGTGCGATCCAGTATCACGGTGGCAAAGGTCGAGCAACAGGAGCTGATGTTGCGATGACGATGATGGACGTCCACGGTCAATTCTTACTCCGTGTGCACAATCCTTGCTGACTTGTAGTTCTTGCATGAAGTATAGTTCTAGTATCTCATGGTTCATGCTCATCTCTCTTACGTTTGCATGTCAAGAGTGCTGCTGTCAAGGTGTACAGTGTAGCCCAGGTTTGTACACTGCTATTGACCTGGTTTCTTCACTATCCAGATGGACTGCGTGGCTGTGTGACAAGAACAAATGTTTGATGACAAGCTGTCATAATACCGAGACCTCGTATGGTCCAGGCAGCAGTAACGTGTTCAGTTGGACAACCACCGCAAGACGCCCATTGTCTGCGGAACATGCGCACGTACACACGTACACACACACATGCACACGTACAGTAACACACACACACACACACACACACACAAGCGCACACCAGACAAACGCTCACGCAAAACACACACGCACAGTACACACACACCCTTGCAAAGGCGGGCTCTCAGCATGTTCAATTTTTCCAGAGTACATGTATAACAGAGTACGATTTGAAGCTGAATGGAAACATTGTGAAAGTATCATTAACCTTAATGCATGCATCACAAAACATGTACTACAGTGTACTTTGCTTAGCATCATCTGTATGCGTGTTTAACTGCTCATCCCACGGGATCGCATAGTATAGCTGTAGATCACGGCCGCCCCTGTCCAAGGTGTCACCACACAAGGCGTGCGTGTGTGTGTGTGTGTGTGTGTGTGTGTGTGTGTGTGTGTGTGTCTGTCTGGTGTGTATGTGTGTGTATATATGTGTTTGGGTTTGTGGTTGTGTGTTTGATATCTGCGTGTGTGTTGTTAGTTTGTGTGAGTGTGCGTATATCTACGTGTGGGCGACTTCAAGGTCCATGAGGTGTCGGTCTAAACTGACAAATGTATGCAGGACCTTACTCGGAATTATGGCGTCATATTGGAACGATCAGTCACGTGTATGATTAACATTGTGCTGAGTGTAGTGTGGAGGGAGTATGTGTGTGTGTGTGTGTGGGGGGGGGGATCTCAGGGGAGATGAAAGCAAGTAATACAAGCTACTAACTCGGTATGTTCCTGACTCACTGAGATTGTAAGGACTCAGGAGCATGCGATTAGAAGCACAGGCCTTGGACCATGGAATTCTCCGCGACACCTTCTGCAACACTCTTCTCCACGTTTTGTCCGTGACAAAAGTACTGTCAGGGATAGATACTGGCGGTAAATACTTCGTGACATGGAGCATGCTCGCCAGCATGCTCGGCATCAGCAAATACAACAGAATTCAGTATTCCTGCGTTACTCCAGTCACTCAACGTCTGCATGTCATCATGACATCATGAAAGGCGAAGTCACAATACATAACTGTACATCGTGGCTGCTTCGTGGTGTCCACAATATCCGCAAAACATGTCCTGAATCAAATATGTTCAAGCGGCCATAGTCGCTAGTCACGCCATCCCAGCAACATAGCGTAACACTCCGTAACAGGGTTGGCTAACGCTAGGCACAGTATAAAAACAGCCATGTCGGTAGCAATAAGATCAGTCTAGCTATTCCTAAAAGTTCAGTTTGTTTTCCAGCTTTTCCAGCCAATCACTTCTCTACCAATCACCATGACGCACAATGGAGATAAACTCTCGCAGGATGTCTGTGATGCTGTAAGTGATGATTCACTGTAATAGTATTTTTTCTTTGAATACGGATATCACGTAAGAAGAAAGTAAGTAATTGTAGCACTCGGCACTTGAAGTGGACGCAGAATAGGGAAATTCCCACAGACCGTGTTGTCTTATTGCAGGGTACCCTGTGAACAGCAAACGAATGATTGTACCCAGCATTGTATTATACTGACGACGTGTACGAGAATACACAATGTCATGTGCGTAATACGAGGATTCCGATCCGTCGTATCCTGTAATGTTCAATGTTGATTCTTCAATTCGGGAACACAATATTTTAGAATGGAATTCTGAGAGATAGTGTCGC